AAATTGAGCATCATGTTAATGTGATAAAGCTATATTTTACAATTATTGTTTTTATTGTCGTGGATCGGAGATACATCATGAACATTCATGTTAGAGTCCAAAATTAAGAGTCGTTTTTTACCTTTCAAAACTAAAAAATGGATAAAAATAAAAACTAAACCCGTCAAAACATGACGGGTCATTTCAATAAATTGTTTTTTTTCTCATTTTATATTTTACTACAATAAACTTCAAAATGAATTGTTGGTTTTTTTCTTGTTTTATTGGTCAAAATTCGAATCATAAATTATCATTTTGTCTTTTTAGTTATTTCTCTGTTCCAAAAAGTGAGCAAAATATACTTAATTTCAGGGTTTCAAATTTTAACAAATAACACAATTTTTATTAAAAATGTTTTACACTTTGTTCGAATCGAAGTCCTACCAAAATCTTCAACTAATTGATGGAAAACAACCAATTTATATGACCCCTATAAAAAACTATAAAAAATACATGCAAGAATTCAACAAAGAAGGTTCCTTTGTTTGGAATTATTTTGAAAAGGATTGTAAGACGTGTTCCGAACATCACAATTTTAACTCGAGATGTCAAAATTGTAAGGGAAAAGTAATATGCAAATTTTGTCACAAATGTCTCAGTTTTCAAGGAACAACGTCCTCAATGAGAACACGCCTTTATTCACCCCGAAAACATTGATGAGAGTGACATCGACGATTTTGAAGTTTTGAAAAATTACTCTCCAAAAAGTGTCAAGCTCAATACACTATTATTAAAATTTTTCATAACAGGAAATATTTCTTTGCGACAAGTCACAAATCCATTCTTGGTCGAGTTGATCAAGCTCCTTGACCCCACTGTGAAGCTGTGTGGAACCACCACATTTTGAACTTCATTGCTAAACAAAGTCTACAACGACAAAATGAAAAGTTTTATTTCTGAAGTCAAAGAAAAAACTGAGGGGAACTATGGCTGTGTTTCTACGGATATAATGTCCAAATTCGGGAACAGCTTCAATACAACCACATTGCATTATTTTGACAAGCAGTTCAACCCCCCTAAACTATGTACTTGAAGTCAGTGTTTTCAATGAAAAACACACTGCTGACAATATCAAGAAGAAAAGCAAAGATGTGTTGGAAAAATTTGGGATCAAAAACAACATTTATTACATCGTGTCTGATGGGTGTCGGAATAACAATGGACTGTCGGATGTTTGTGGAAAGAAATTAAATTGTGTTGTTCATGGGATTAACTTGATTTTTTCAGACTTAATTAAGAATATTTTCAGAACTCAACAAAATGTTGGAAATGTTGAATAAGGTGTCGAAAACTTGTCAAGTATCACTTTCAACGCGTGTTTTATTAAAAAAGTGTGAAGAGAATGAAGAGAAATATTGTTGTCTTGCAACATTTTGCAAAACAAGATTCAACTCTTGTTGTAAATCTTTTGAAACGGCACTTCAAATGGAGAAGTCGATAAACGACACGCGTGGAACAAACCGTTTGACAGATGAAAATTGGGTGGAAATGAAGAATATCTTTCCATTCGTCAAATTAATGAATGATGCATACAGTACTCTCTCTACCAACTCCACTCCAAATTCGTGTTTTGTATTAGGAATTCTAACAAATATATGGGAAATGATCAGAAAATACCCAACACAGAAGTGGAGTGAACATGATGATCGCCCATCTACCCAACTTCTTCGAATGATTTCTTTCGTTGCAACAAGATCACACTACTTCACACTACCTCACATTCCTTCAACACAACCAGTCATCCACAGTCTTCATCTGTCAACCTCTCTTTCTCCTCTCACTTACCGACCGAATTACGCCACAGTGCCATCCTGTTCTCAACCAACAGTTGGTTTACATCAACCCAAACTTATACGGAACACATCACAACACCTTTCTTCTGTAAGTAGTGGACCATCACACCAAAACGACATGAATAACACACAAGAGCTTCTTTTTGGAAAAGATTGGAAAAATATTGCTCGGAATGGGTTTTCTAAGAGGTTTGGAAAGATTCTTGATAATGAACATTTCAAAATTGCCTGTTTTCTATTTCCTCCTGAAAGAGACAAATACTTGAATTTAAGGGATCAGGAACATATTAAAAGAGTTGTTGAATCTAAGTTGGTTGGCTCTCGAGATTACCTTACCGCGAAGAGGAAACTTTCTATACAATTAACAAAGGATGGAAATGATCAACGAGTAAGAGAGTCAGATGCCAAAGATTCTGGAATGGCGAAAAAACTTGGAGAATATATGGAAGACAAAGGGACATCTGATGGTCAAACTGAATTGCATGAAACCCCCTTGACTTACTGAAAAAACAGCACTTTCACCCACTTGAAAGAATTGTCAAGAAAGTTTGTCTGCACAATCTACAAGCATTGATTCTGAAAGAGTTTTTAGCGTGATGGGAAATATTTTGACTGATGAGAGAAACAGAACAAATCCTCACACTGCTCCAAAAATCACCTTTTTGAAAATACAACTTGAAGTTAGTTAAATCTTTTTTTCTATTTAACATGTTAGTATTTGAATTGAATTCAAATGATTCATGTCATCGTACAGTTTATTTAATTATATTTCCTCGTTTTTTGTTTTTAGGTTGATACTTGCTAAAAATTTTAACTTTGAAAAAAAACATTATATTCCTTTTATTTTAAAAGTTATTTTATATTTTTTGTGGTAAGAAAATGAAGTTTTTTGGATGTTTGTAAAAAAAGATGAAGAAATCGGCATTTTTTCTTTTTGGTGATGGAAATGTTTCTTAAATTAAAAATGCAAATAATAATAAAAACTGTTATTTTCCTTTTTGTTGTTGATCTTTGATTTTTTGTTCGAAATGGCATATCTCAAAAAACTACAAGTTCTATGGAATTTGCAGATTGTGATTATTGAGAAATATTGAACGGCTTACGCAAATAGAAATTTTTTGTAAAAAACGGGCATTATGGGAATTTGTGGTTTGCGATTGCGCACCCTATTTTATAATCAAACAATAAAAATATTAATTTTTAACTATATAACATTATTATTATAATACTATTATATATACTATATGACTATACCCTGTTTATTAAACGTTTTACCATCCATTCTTTACCATGGAAATTTCAGTGGAATCTTGGCTGATGTGGCAGTTTTTAAGTTTTGAGCAAAGACCCGTTTTTGTCCAATACTGCTTTAAGGGTTAAATTATTGATAGTAATAACGATAATGTTTTTGAATTATTTGGGGTACTAAATATACCTTTGTTTTAATTAAATTTGATTCTAATAAAAACGTATTTTTTAGTGGCGCTGCTTATACCCTGATACCCATTTCGTTTATAATGCTAACGTATAACCAAACAACAATTTCGCGCCATCTTCAATTTACAGTGTATATCTACAACTTACAGTAAAACCTCTCATTAGTAGATTAAACGGGAAAATAGAACTTCTCAATAGTGATTATGAAATTATTTTTTCCCCTCAATGAGTGTTTTTTATTTTGATTGGTTGAAACGTCTCTTAATGAGAGGATACACTAATGAGAGGTTTTATTGTATCTAATTATTATTAAATTGAGCAACCTAAAGTCTTAAGTTGCTCAATTTAATTTTCTTTAATTTATTTACTCTCGTCTTGAGATTGTTTGTTTTGCAATTTTCTATACATAGACATTGAAATGTACTTAAATAATAAACCTGGAATTATTTTATTTTTTAAAATTTTTATAAAATTATAAAAAAATAAAAATGTTTTTTTATTAAAAAATAATTTGTGTTATTTTGTTTCATTTTTTATTAATTTGTGATGTTATTGAAAATTGGAATATCTTTGATGATACAAAGTTATTATATCAGACAATGTTGTTTGACTGACTCAACTTTATTTTTGATACAGAAACTTAAAATTATATACATATTATTTTTGAAATTTTGAAAATTCTGGGACTTGGTCAAGAATTTCTGTTTCGTGATAGATTTACGAGTGTTCTATTTGACTGAATTGGAACGAAAATAACAGTCATAAGAAGTATATCATAAAACTTAATATGATAACAAATTTGTTTAAAAAAGTAGTACCATTTACTTTTCACATTGGTAATTTTAATAACTAATTCAAAAAATAAAAATGAATATTTCCTTTTTTATATTATATTGAATTATAAGGAACCACTCTTTGTTTATGGATATTATAACGCAAAAATAACTGGTTTGTGTTTATTTCCATACTTTTTCATATTTTATTTGAAAAATCGATTACTAAAAAAACACAAACTTGAAATCTGCCATGACTTCGAACCAAGAATTGAATTTGTGTGACAAACTACAGTCACTTGAACGTGCGATTAATGAAGATAAGGTCACAAACATTACCAACACTTTAGAAATACCTTCTTATTCTTTTCCAATTATAAATACCAACAATATTTCAGCAATTACACACAGTATTACTTTAAACACTCCTCCAAAATTTCCTGTTGTCTCAATGGTTCCTCCAAAAACTCAAAAAGTTCAACAACTCATTTCTGACAAGTTCTTTAATAAAGTCATTGGAACACTTCCAAAACAAAGCGATGCCACAAGTCTTAACAATGCACTCGCAGAGGTGAAGCGTTATGAAGGTGTCGTTGAAGAACAAAAGAAGAAGATTGAATCCCTTGAAATTACCATTTGTTATTTGAATGACGAAACTGAAGACGTCAGAGCAATTTTTTTGAAACAAGGAGAACTTGAAACGGCAAATAAAGTGCTAAAGGAAAGGAACGATTTTCTATTTCAAAGATGTGAAATTTTGAGTGAAGAAGTTGATGCTCTTGAGATTATTAAAGAACAGAATAAAATAATAGAATCTAAGTACAATACATTGAAAAGTGATTATGACAATTTGATGAGGCAAAAAGAACAAGTAGTAGAAGATGAGCGTCGAGCTACTTTAGATAATATATTGGAACGAGAAAAGAGTTTTCAAAGTCAACAGCAGCTCGCACAATTTCATTCTGAAATGGATAAAGAAATAGCCAGGAGAGTTTCTTTTATTTTGGAAGACAAAACAAAAGTGTACAAACGTCACGAAGCCGAAATGAAAAGCGAAATTGAGTTGCTTAAACTTGAATGGGAACGGTCAAAAATGGAAACCAAAATGATGAAAGAAAAATATGATAATAAGGTGAGGGATTTCAATACATTGTATAAGAGTCTGCAAAAGGAAATTTGTCAAACAACTGATTTGGAACTGCAAGTGAAAGAAAGAGAAAAACAAATAAATGAACTCAGCCAAACTCTTGAAACAACAAAACAATTTTTACTCCCCATTTCAAATACAAAGGATAAAAACTTCAGTATGTTACAAGAGAGGTGTTACATATTAGAAAAACTACAAGCCCAAGTCCAAGAACAAAAAAGTGAATTAAATTTAATTATTTACAGACGCGAAAAGGTCATTGATCAATTGTATGAATACATAAGAGCTTTAATAAAGGAATACGACATTTACTTTGACATTACACTTCAAATCGTTATTTATTTTCTTCAAATTGCAGGGATTGATATCAATGTTACATTTAATAGCGATGAGATTGCGAATCAAGCTTTTGAAAAAATTAAACAATCTACAGATACGATTAATCCAAGGAAAGATGCCGACATTCCACAAACTACTCGGATCAATTTTTGCGATGAATTAGGACCAATAATTGGAACGGAATGTGCTGAGTTAATTGATCGGCTGTTCAAAGATAACGTGTTGGAAGTTACAAAATTTACATTACCGAACGGTGATGTAAATGTTAAACACAATGACGGTGAAATATCCACACAACAAGGAACAACACCATCTGGACAATCCACATTGGAAGAGAAAAAGATCAACCAAAATGCAAACGAATTGATAAGACCGATCAAAACCGTTCAACCGATACAAAGACAACCAGAGGTCGAAGTCCCAGTTGCAAAGAAAATGATTTTGCGTGAAAATGCAGAAACTACAGACCCCAAAACACTCGAAATGATGAAAAAAAGAAAAGGGGGTATGATATGGTAATGGACTTTATTATTAAAACGAATTCCTGGTATATGAGTAAACTTTATGATTATTTATTATTATTTGTGGTGATTTCATACTGCGAATTTTTTTTCATTTTGGTATTTAAAATCAACTGAAAAAAAAGATGGAAATTTTATTTGTAATAATTATAGAATTAATTATATAGTTTATTTAACTATAATGTGTTATTTTAATAATAGTTAAAATCTAACTAAAAATTCGTTTATGAGCCAACTCGCCCCGTTTCACTTGATGATTGTTGCTAAGTACTTGCCTAACTTTAAAACGTTTTCTAATGTTCTGCTAATTTCGAAACGATACGCAACGATCATCGACAATTTCCACTTTAATCCATTTCCTCTCACTTACAATACAATAAAATTGTTTAAACATCTTGAAACACTTCATTTGTATTCTAGAGAAGATGAAACATTTGGAAATGAATTTGTTGAATATAATTCATCCACATTTTTGGGTCAAAAATTGAAGAGTAATATAAATGTAAAAAACTTTCAAACACAAAATGAGCAAAACAAAATCGAATTTTTCGAAGTTGTTGTTTGGTATATTGTTAACTACACAACTACACAGAAGGCAGGTAATAACTACAACTTTAAAAATGTCATTTACTCACCCACAAATGACGCCAAATCAAAAGAAATTCCACAAATTGTTAATTCACTTGACGAATTCTTTTTCTCGAACGCGAAATTTGATAAATACACAGTCCCAAGACAAATCACTTCGTTGGGAGTGGGCTGTTTTGCAAACGCGAAGTTCCTTTCAAAAATCGAGTTTCCACCTTTTATTGTTTCCATTAAAGATGAATGCTTCAAAAATTGTTGTTCGTTAAGAGAAATTAACTTACCACCAAACGTTATTACACTTGGAAGGTCTTGCTTTGCTGCATGTTTGGCTGTTTCCAAAGTGTGTCTTCCAAGTGCTTTGAAATGTATTGAAGGTGCCGCTTTTTCACGATGCACTACAATTCCACAAATAGAAATGCCCAGTGCAGTTACAGTTATTAAATCATCCTGCTTTGCAGAATGTGCATCGCTTTTATCTGTGGTATTCACATGTGGTTGTCGGTTATCTTATGTACAAGACAATTCATTTCTAAATTGTGTATCACTAAGGGAAATTACACTTCCAGACACAACAGAGTGTATCGAGAAGTATGCATTCAGAAATTGTAAAAATCTTTTGTTTTTCAGAGCACCAATTAATCTTATAAAAATCGGCGACGGTTGTTTTTCAGAGTGTGTGTCACTTAAAAATGTCTTTTTCAATCAAAATTTGAAGGTAATTGGTGGCTTTGCGTTTTACAATTGCACGGGGTTGACTGCTATAGAACTCCCTAAAAACATCACATTTGTCGGGAAAAGTTGTTTTAGTGGGTGTATTTGGATAAAAAGTGTTGTGCTCAACAGAAAGGTTTCTTTGGTAGAATCTGGTCTTTTAAAGGGAATCAAAATCGTTAAAAAATAATTTTTATTAATTTATTACAAAGTTATCAATATTTTTTTGCATTTTGTTATTTTGAAATAATATTTCATAGGTTTCGAATAAAAACAAAAGAAGTGTTTGCATTCTATTGTGTTTAACAAAAAATTACAAATTTACAAAAGATGGATCAATAATAATCACATTTACACATTTAAATAGTGATAAATATTTCAAAAAATACTTCTTTGTTTATTTTTTTATTTATTCAATAATTGTTGTTACAAAAATCGAATAAATTTTTGTAAAAGAATTATTTATACAAAGATTTTCAAAATTATTTTTTTTGTGCGTTAAAACGTGTAATAATATAATTGGGGGTTTTTATAGATTACTTTTAAAGTTTTTAAAATAATGAATTCAAAAAATGTAAGTTTTTATAATGAGACCTTATATTTTGAATGAAATATATATTAAAATTCTAATTGTTTATATTATTAGTTGTAGTTGAAAATTTAAGTTGATTAAAGATGATGAGACCAAACATAATAAATAATTATAAAATGGTTGATGATAATTATATTATTCGGTATGACTGACGCTATCAATCTTTTATATTCATAGAACTCCATAAAAAACGTAACAAAAAAAATTAAATATTAATAAAAAACCAAAAACAATAATAATTTAATAAATAAAAAACACAACGATTATTGGGGTAATAATAAATTAAAAATAAAAATAGAAAGAAGAATAACATTTAACAAAATACTCTAACTTTTTTAATAAATGAAGAAAACAAAAATTGATACTCCACCAACTCTGGTTGAAGCTAAAAACCATCTCATCAACAAGCTGTACGTCGCAAACGTCATTAACAGGCTCAGAGAAATTGACGAGAGAAAGCCAAATGATTGCAAACGTTGGTTTTGGGAGTTAGTTCAGAATGCGAAAGATTCCATTTCTCAGACTGGCCAAAAGAGCGTTGATATCAGTGTAAAAATCACCGACAATGTATTTTATTTTTCACATAATGGTGCTCCTTTTACTGGTAAATCTGCATTAGCTCTTCTGTATAAGTACTCCGAAGGTAAGACGAATGACTCAGAGTCGACTGGTCGGTTTGGCACCGGTTTCTTAACAACGCACACCCTCTCCAAAATAGTATCAATTTGTGGTGATATGTATTATGATGATGAAAAAAATCGAATTATTGGGTTTAAAACCACAATGTATAGAAATGGTTCAACTGAAGACGAATTGCTTGAAGGTGTTGAAAAGATGTATAATAGTTTGCAATTTTACGAGCCACGACCATATAAGACAACCTATAAATACAAGGTTGAGACAGAAGAAAACAAAATGGCACTTGAAATGGGAACAACGAACATCTATGATAATGCAGTGCAAACTATGTTGTTTTGCAAAGAAGTTAACCAGATTAAAATAAATAACAAAGGAGAAAAAACTATATTTAAGAGAGTTTCAAATAGTACTGAAGGTGATTTGGAAGTCATCAAATTTATTGTGCACAAAGGTAAAAATTTTATCATGAGAAACTTTTTGATGTGTCAAATTGAAGAACCCTCTGAAGAACTCACAAAGAGATTTAAAAATCCACGAAATGTGAGACATTCCGCTGCAGTTGAATTTAATGAACGCAATGAGTTGGTTGATGTGAAGGGGCCATCACTTTATTGTGTCCTTCCTCTTGTTGGGAGTGAAAAGATGCAATTTCCATTTCTTTTAAATTCACCCGATTTTGAGCCTGAAAGTGAGCGTCAAGGTCTTTTCTTATCAGGGAAGGAAACAATTGAAGAGACTGGTTGTATTTCTAACACGGGGATAAATAGAATGATTCTGAAACGAGCAATTCCATTATACGAAAAGTTTGTCTATCACTTGGCAGAGTATAATTACAAAAACATCCAAATGGTTGGGAGGGGAATAAAAGAAATTCCCGAAATGGACGCCAATTTTTCTAAAGAGTGGTATACTCAAAACTATATACTACCACTCAGAGAAGTGATGAAAAACGCACCAATTGTTGAAGGTGAATATGGAAAGATGTCAATTTTTAAACACAACACACAATTTGTCAAATTTCCAGTCTTGAAAGACAACAAATATTTAGGCGATTTCTACGACATTTTCAGAGTTTTTCATGATGGCGAACTTCCATTGAAGTATTGTTTGGAAGAATGGACAGAACAATTATGGGACGAATGTGAGAAGACAACACTTAAAATGTTTTTGCAAGAAGTTGAAAAATGTGAATGTATAGCAATAATGAAAACTAAAATGAAAATTAAAGACGATCCTTTTGAATTTCTCAACAAATTGCTTCTCTTTGTGGATAAAGTAGAACCCAAGTATTTGTGCAATTATAAACTAATCCCCAACGAAAAAATGATTTTCATGAGATATAGTGACGACGTTATCGACATCTCAAAAGTCCATCCAACTTTGGTCGATGTTGTTGAGTCACTCGGAGTCACAAATTGGAGGGATATTGCTATAAACAGTAAAATTATCTGTTTCAAATTAAAAGAAAATAATATATACACAAACTCCAAAACATCTTCTTACATTGATAATTTAGTATTAAACATTAAGACGCAATCTGATAACTTAAAAAAGAAACAACTTCAAAACGAAGCAGATGAAAAAAAATATAGATCTAATAATATAGCATATAACACACCAAGTTATATGTTATTCGGTTTACCTTCAGTCTACGCAAGAACTGAAACAAAAGAAGAAAAAAGTCAAAGAAACAAGAGTTGATCAAAACAATGAATTTGATTTTATCACTTGTTGTTGATGACACAAACAAATACGAACAACCTTTTATCGACCAACGAATGTTTATGTTTAATTATATGAACATTATCTTCCCAACACTAAGAAGACATAAAATAACGTTCAATGATGCAGACAAACAGATGTGGTTCAATTTGGACAAAATCATCACGGAAATGATGTTAAATGAAGTATCCATATGTGGCAATTTAAATGTAATGAACAGCAACTTAATGAACAACGAAACATACAACGATCTTTTGTCACACATCCAACACATCACAGAAAATGATATATTTAAGTTTTACAAAATTGTTCCAAATCAAAAGGGAGATTTTGAAAGTATCTACAGATTAAATAAAGATGTTGATATTGACGATTTCTTCAAAGAAAATAAAGTCGTTGTAAAATACAATGGAGATTTAAAAACAATTCTTCTTCATAAAAGTTTTAATTTGGACACCATGGAAATGAAACAAGAAACGGTGACAAAAAAGTTTCTTGACATAGTTGAAAAGGAGAGAAATTTAGAGTTGTGCAAGGAAATACTGAAATTCCGACCACTTAAAAAATATGTCACTGTCATTCCTTCCTCATTGGAAACACAATTAAAACTGTTTGGAGACATCATGCGAATCGACAACCACACTGGAATTGGAGTCGGTTCGGTCAAACTTTGGCGTGTTGCTTTTAATGTTTTTATTGAAGATTTATACATTCGAAGTAAAAAAAATGGGAATTTTGGAATTGTTCTTCTGACTTTAGGTATTAACGACAATGAAAATATACTTCAACTTTATGGAGAAATAATGTCTCAATTTATTAAGATATATGGATATGATATTAATTTGCCCAACGTGTACGATCAAATGATTAATATCGGCAAACTTTACTCAAATGATATTCCTGAAATATTCGTCCAAATGGAAAAGTCTCTTGTTGGTTGTCGATTCAATCAACAAGTTTTTTGTAATTTTGCAGACATGATGTCTAATGTAATCAGAAGTGACATAATAATTAAAGATGTAAATTTGCCTAGTGGGAAATCAATGATTTGTCAACATATTGATAACATGGTCCACTCCTATTACTCAAACAACAAAAATGAAGCTCCTTTTGATACAACATTGAAAGATAATGTTCAAATTTTGATTGAAACTGACGAAGTAAATGACTTGAATATATTCCCTCGTTTCAACAAAATTCGAGAGGAATTCGAATACAACGTACTCTATTCTTCAGACAAGAAACAACAACTTTTCAAACTTTCAAAAATACTTGACAAAGGACTTGATGTTGAAAGAATCGAAGAAGCGTTGAGTCAACTTAATGAATTAAAGCAAAAAACCAAAGAAACGGGGAAGCCACTTAAAGAAGAATAAAAACATTTGGCAAGACACATGTTGTTAAACCATCTCTCTAATTGGTTATTCTTAAAATTATTTTGATTTTTTTATAATTAATTTTTAATTGTTTGATAGATAAAATGAAAAATGTAAAAGTTAAATTACACATTAATTTAACACTCAATTCAAAATCAATCAAAAGAGTTAAAATTGTTGTTCTTCTAAATAAATAACAACAAGAATAATATTTTAATATGAAAATACACATTATTCAATTAATATGTTCTCCAACATATTAACAACCTCTTCTATTTCAATTCGATCATTCGGACACTGTTTCCAACTGAGGCTCAAAATGTTATATTGCTCATTCGACATATCACTTGTCTTGGGCAGTCGTAGTCCCCGAGTTACAAAATCTGCTATTTTCCAAGGATATGTAAAGTCGTCATTGTCATATGCAAAGCACCACCCGAAGCATTCATACATTGTCAATGCAAATGAATAAACATCAGCAGCTTTCTTATATTTATCTCTTTTCAAGACTTCTGGTGCCATGTAACTTGGTGTTCCAACACCTTTTGTGAATGTCATATTAGTCATCATCATGTTAAAGTTTCTCGAGGACCCAAAATCAGTCAATTTCGCAATCACATTGTCAGAAAAATTTAACGAGTATATCAAGATGTTGTCTGGCTTAACATCTCTATGTAGAATTCCATTTTTGTGTAAATATAAAATCCCCTTTGAAGCATCTAACATGAATTTGTTACGAAGTTTTGTTTCAATTTCACTTGCCTTTTTATGGTCAATCAAATCTCTTAAAGACCCAAACTCGGCAAATTCGGTAACTAAACTCACTTTATTTGATACGAAAACAGCACCAAAGAAATATACGATATATTCACTTCGGAACTTGTCTAACATTGCAACTTCATTCTCAAATTCATGGTCATCCAATTCATTGCTATTTTCAATATCCTTCATTCGTTTAATGGCAACGGTTTTCCCTCGGTAAGTTCCTTTGTAAACGACACCAAACCCACCTTCACCAATACTCTTCTCATCAATCAATTCTTTGGGGTCAATGGGGGGTTGAAATTTCAGTGTTTGCCCTCAATTGTAATTTTACTAATAAATTCCTTGCCACTTTCCAATGATTTTGATATTATCAAAGCGTCATCAGTGATTTTACATGTGTAGTTTGGTCTTATAAAAATTTCAAATTCACATGCAAACCCCCTTTTAAGTGATATTATCTCTGGTGTTGTTCGAATGGAATAACTTTCTTGGTCTGATTTCATTGAAATTTGGACTTTCAAAGTCCTTTCTTTGGTGTTGCCAATACAAAGAAGTTGTCTTGTTTCCTTTAAAACCGGAATTTCGTCTGTTTCGGAGTTAAAGTCCACAATTCTATGATTTGAGCAAATGGAATTTCCTAATGATATAAATTGAATGTTCGACCTTTTCATTTTGAAAATAGTCACTCGTTCATGTTGTATCTTTTGGTGCATTTTGTTGAGTATCAATTTGGTGAAATAAACAATCAGCCCACTTGTTGAAAGCAACACTAAAACGATGAAAACAACGATCAATAAAATGATCCACCAAACGGCTTTGTTTTCACAAAAAGTGCCAGCTTCACTTGGGGTATTCCAAAAAGAACATTTTGTGCACTTCGAATTGGATGATGCTGTACAACTCTTTATCGAGGAAAATAATATGCAATTTGAACCAACTAAAACATCTCCATTTTTACACGTTAAACAACTTTCTCTAGAAGAACATGTTAAACACTTATTACTACACTTTTCACATTGATTTGTATCAAATTGGTAATATCCATTTTGGCACTTTGAACAGCCAGATTGAGTTATTTCAATGTCACACCCACTAATTAAATCTTGTGGAAGACACTCCCCACTACTTGTTTTAAAATTTGTTGAGTTGCATGAGAGGCATTTTGCTTTGGTATTACACAAAGAGCACTTTTTATCGCATTTGGCACAACCCAGACCAATTCTATAATATCCATCTTTGCATTGGGTGCATCCCGAGATGACGGTCGATAAATGTTGACACGACTCCGTTAATTCCGAATTTGATATACATGTTTTTTCTTGTTTGTAAAATCCAGAATAACACGAGAGACATGAAGTTGAATTAAATAAACAACTTTCACAATTGTCATCACATTTTAAACACTTCTCATCTGATAAGTAATATCCAAACTGACATGAAATACAACCGCTTGAGTTTCTAATATCACAATAATCTACTTCTAGTATTGTTGTAAAATGTTGACACTCATTTTTTGAATTTTTAATATACTCTTCTTTACATAAAACACACTTTGAATTTAATACACTTTCACAGTTTGATATTGGGATTGTACACTTCCCATTCGCTTCTTTGATTTCATTTTGTTCACAAGAAGAAGTAACACAATTACCTTCGGAAGATAACAAAAATTTTGGTGAACACTTTGTCGGCATTGAGTTGGTACATATTACCCAATTTTCATTCTTTTGATTACATTTTAAACAAATTGAATTGTTGATATAAAAAGTGTTAAGGCAAAACAAAGTAGACATTCCATATGTTATTGCACCTTCTTGACTTATACAACTTCCTTTCTCTGTTAGCATTGTTCCCTCTTCACACACTAAACACTTTTTACTAACAAAATCACACTTGTTGCAATTTAAATCACAATTATCACATGTTCCCATTGATAGACCTTTTCGACACTTGCGACAAACAGTGCCGTCTGTCAGTAAACAATTGGTCGTTATTTTACAAGTTCCGTTTACATTAAAATATCCTTGTTGACATTTAAAACAAGTTTTGGTATTTCCAATTTCACAAATTTCAGAGAAAATACACTGAAATTTGTTGTTCAAAACGTAATTTGGTTTGCATTGGACGCACTTATTTAATGAATTTGATATAGCACAATTAACATCGTTTTTAATACAACGGCCTTCGAACAAATAAGAGAAAGAATCACATTTAAAGCATGTTACATTTCCATTGGGAAATTTCTTTAAAAATACACAATTTAAAAGTTCGAAATTAATTTGATTTTCTGTCAAATACAAAAAACTTGGTTCGTTAGGGTCACTCTTTTGATGAATTTGGAGACTCCCGAATCTAGTAACAAATTTCATTAGAAGTACTAAAGTACCCGAGTAAACTTCTAAAGCATTCAAATTATTATCACAATTTACAGCCAAAAAATTGGTCGTTGGAAGCACTTCCAAATCATATTCTGATGCTGTCAAACATGTCAAAATTTTATCACTGCTGGAGTAAAAAAGTTTTTGTGGCTCGTGATATAATGTTCTTGATACTTCACATTAAAATTGGCAAATGAAAATATTGAATTTGTGAATACCCCATTTACTGTGATATAGACGTTTGAGCTCACTTTGTATAACATGACATCTTTTGTGTTGTTCAAAAGTGCATCCCGTTCGACATAAATTGTTGTGTGAGGCAAAGGAATTGAATTGAAATCGAAATTTCTTATTTTACCATCCAAATACAATTTACAGTTTGTTCCAAATTCGTCTTCGCAGGGGCAGTGTGGATAGTTGAATGAATAAAACCCATCAAGTCTTTTATAACTTGTTATATAATTTGAGTTGTTCATTGCACAAACAACTTCTTTATTCAAAATCGTCGTGTTTGGACAAAATCGAACGAGTCGCTCGTTTGAGAGCAAATAAATGATTCCAGTTGAGAGTTGGAACGGAAATTGAGAAGCTGCAATACATTTTGTCCCATCTTCGGATTTCAAAATGGTTTTGTCGGGTAGAGAAACACATCAAACAATTGTTATTTCCAACCGGATTTATGACATGAAAATTGACTCTACCTGTAAAAATATATATTCAATGGACATAGAAAGCATCCCATAGGATGATTTGTGGGGTATTAAGTTGATACGATTCAAACTCTAGGCTTCCTGACATTGATAATTGCTTCTTGGAACCAAATGAGCATTTTTGGAAATATAAGTCGTGTTTTGAATATGAAACGAAAACCCTGTGTCTATAATAAGATTTGAATTTGGAAGAAGAACAAGGTTATATACATTCGACCAATAATTTAGGACTGTTTTGATTGTTATCTCACCATTAACTGTCATGGCCCCAATCCAATTGTTACCAGGAAAGGTGAAATCTTTTGTAAAATAAAATGAATGATCAAGAAAGTTTGAACAGTTGATTGTCATATTTGTTGAAGGTACAAATTGATTGGTTGAGTTTTGAACGCAGTCATAACCCGCACTTTGCAACAAGAAAAGTGTTAATAATGATAAGGAAACGACCATCTTTCAATGTGAAACGACTTAGAATTTAGTTTTAGTTTATTCAAAGACATTAAATTATTTAAATCGGGTCTATTTATTCAAAAACACGAAATGAATTTAGTTCAATAAATACTTGGTTTGTAAGGAAAAAAGACTCAAATGCTCTGTCTATTTGAACTATTTCAGATTTTTGACACCCTCTTACGAACAAAAATTTGATTCAAATGAAGATAAAAAATACAAATAAATATTAAAACTATATGATAGCATTTTTTAATTAATTTTTTAGTATATTTTATTTTTAAAATGTTTATTTCCAAACAAAAAAAGCAATCAAACAAATAAAATGTTGGTGATAGAAGTGTATGTAAGAATAATAATTTTTAAATAATTTAATAAAAAACTATTATTTGATTAAATTATTTTATTAAAAATAAAAAAGTTATTTTTATTTTTTAACTAAATTGTTTTATTAAAAGTTATAATGTAATATTATTATTAATTATTATTAAATCGAATTTAAAAAAACAAATAAAAAAATATTTTTTCTATCTTGTTTTGAATATTAACACTTAAAATAAGACCTTATTTTTGTTTTGGCCTGTTTTTACTGGGATATCAAACCAATTTTTGATGATTTTCCTTTTTTGGCTTGTGTATAGTTTATGCACATAATATAAACTCTAAAAAATGGAAATTTATTTAATAAACTCTAGATTTCCCGATTTTTTAGACCACTTGAATTTTGTTCAATGTTATTTAAGGTGTTAAAAAGTAAAAATTATCATGAAATTTTGATGTTTTTAAATTAAAATAGTTAAAATAAACAAATTGAATGGTTAAGTACTAGCTTTAATATCATAAAAATTTAAAAATAATAATTGTTAATTTTTTGAAAATTTTGTAGATTGCATATTTATTATAAACATTGTTTATTATTGGTCATAGCCCAAAATACTTAGAAAAATAAGTTGATAGAAACAAAAAATCAACCTTTTGGTTTACACAAAATAATTTATTATATTTTGTGATTATCCAAAACGTTGTTTGAAAAAATATATATTTTTTATTTTTTTATATAAAAGAATCAATAAAACTTAAATACAAATGTTAATTAATTTTTTTTTATATGAACAAAAAGAAAGCTCAACCATAATTAAACTTAATGTACAATATTTTATATAATAATTAATATATAAATAATTTGATTATCATCTAAATTAAATAAAGATTATAAATATTATAATTATAAATTGTAAATATTATCAATATGTAAAAAATATATTAAAACATAATGATTCAAAAATTAATTCTTATTATCAAAGTGTCAAACAAGACAACAAAGATCGGACTTTTTTGGCATGTACCTAAAGTTACTTTCTCCACAATTAATTTTAATATCATTGAAATTGGACACAGATACTCCTGCTGAAATTGTATCCCAGTTTACCGTTTGTTTTAAGATGAGTTCTCCATCCCTAGTAAAAAACACTTCTTTTGTCTTTGCATTATATCCACAACCAACAACAGAAATTCCATCCACAATTGTTCCATATTGTTTCCCAAGAATTATCATGTCGGGAGAGTCTTGATATTTACCAACATATACACAACCATCAAGTCCGTTATATCCAATACTATAACACTCCCATCCAAGATGCATATTAAAATTGGTATAATTATCTTCATCAAAACATCCGATACACACATCACTCCTCCCAGTGACTTCGATCTCGAAATATCTTAGTCCCTTCTTTTTCAAAATTCCATTTTGTGTAGTTATAACAAACTTCAAATCTTTTTCGCTTTTTGAATAAAAGTGCTGACTAAAAATGGTGTTGATTAGTCTCTTTTTTTCACAAAAATTGAGTGATGATGCGTCTGGTTTTCTCATTAAAATTCCATCGACAATTTCAAGTGCAAACGAATTAGAAATGAATCTCATCATCTTAAAAATTCCCTTTTCGTTTTCAAAAGTTGGATATTCCAATATATCCGATTTTAGTTGGAAAGGACATTCATTGAGAATTTTACCTTCAAACGACAATACTTTTTTTAATCTGTAAAAATTGCCAGTACTGTTAATATACACTGATTTACCAGTAATTTCTATGTTAGGAAATTCAGTGCATCTTCCCCCAATAATTGTAAAGTCCGTCAATTTCTCAAAGTTCCTTTCTTTGAAAAAAATTGTATCAAAGACGTCTCTCATACTAAAAGTTTCGAGCAACGGAGCTTCTCCCAAAAAATTGATGTATTTGCATTTGTTCATCGAAATGGTCTTTAACGCGGTGAAAGTGACTTGATCAGTAAAAGTAATATTTTCACATCCATTCATTGTCAACTCTAAAAGTGAGTGAAATGGAAAAACGAAGTCAAACCACGAACAATTCTCCATTTCCAAAATTTTGACGTATTCCATTTTGATGTTAAAAGGTTGATCTCTCGGACTTTCTATATTAAACAATTTGAATTTTAAAACACAGTCTGGAACACTCCAAACTTTTTCAATTGAACCCAAAGAAGTTGTATATCTATATTCAACACAACTGGCATACATTTTGTTTAACAAATTGTTCAAAAAATCGCCTTCTATTTCACCGTCGACAGTTAAATTGCCATCCTCAAGTGCATATAAATTTTTTTCTTCATTGAAGTACTTCTGCAAAATTATTCGAAAACAGAATTTGATCTTGACAAAGTCTTTAATAAGTTCCTCGTCGTCTTCTTCTTGATTATTCACTGCGACAGAGACTTTGACATTGGTATTTTCAGGTATCATATTTTCTAATTGCCAAAGCAATTCAACGGACTCAGAAGTTATTTTGAGAGATGTCTTTTTGAAACAATTTGTTTGAATGTATGTCGGAAATTTGAGATTTTTCTCTTTCATGCTGTTGGTGTAATTTGTCAGGAAACTCACAATATACTCCAACTCCCCAGTTACCTTCTCTAATGATGTAAATTTGTCAGCGTTTTTAATAACATATTTGAGAACAGCGTCTCTTCTTTCAAACTCGTTTTGTGGCTCAATTAAATGAGTTAAATAGAGGTTTAAAACTCTTGGAAAATATGTCTCGGCAAAGTCTTGTGTCAATTCATTAATTTGAAGTGCTTCGGAAAATAAAACGTCGTTGTAATATTTTGCGTTTATTGATTTAAAGTTCTCTGGAGAATTTAAGTTGAAATAAACTGAATTGAAAATGTTTGGGTGGAAATGTATGGACATCCAAAATATTGAATCAAAATCCATAAATTGTGGGTAGTACGGCATATCCTCAAGTGAAGAAAGGCACTTCTTGTTAATTTGAAGAAATGTGTAAATGTCTTCCCGTGTTTGAAGTTCACGCAAAATTGGGTAAAAATGGTTTACTTCAAGTTGTGTTAATTGAATAGTCATTTTTGAAATAATATATAAATAGTTCTATTACATTTTAATAATTGACCATATTCCTCTTTGATTCATCAGATAAATATTTTGTCTTGTTTTTTTTAACAATATGGTATATATAATGACGAAGCATTGATGAGTTGTTGAATCAAAGAGGAAATTAATTTGAACAATGTTTTAGACAATTATTAAATTACAAACATTTCAAAAAATTAGTTTGTATAGTTTTTTAAATAAACAATTATAATAATTTATGAATCGATAATATTTTTATTTATATTTAAACTAAAATAGTAAATTCGACAATGTTAATTTATTGATGGTTTCTTGATATTTCGCAACATAAAATAATTTTATCTTACTTGAATTTGTGCATAAATTCTTTGTAAAAAATACAAAGAAAATTTAAACATATTGATGGTATATACTATGTAAATTATATGCACATATTTTAAAATAAATCAAATTTATTTAACATTAATTTTTCCAAAATCATGTATTAAACATAAAATATATATTTTAACATCTATTAAACTAGTAACCAATAATAATTTTCATTGATGACCATTCTTTGTTAAAAGCCTAGTTATCTTCACGAACAAGTCTCGATTTTTATTTGATGTTTTTTTGTATCATTAACATACTATAGGGATATGAATCCTTAAACTTTTTATAAACTTAAAAATACAAACAATTTTTTATGTTTAAATAATATCTATTATGTTGAGTAGTCATAAAAATGTTTATAAATAATATTTTTAATTAACACATTTTCGTTTTAAAAAGACACGATTTTTGGACATACAAAAAAAATCATTATATACACAGACTTCAATTAATTGTTTTGAATTAAATCAATTTATTGACAACAAGACATAATTTAGATATGTTAATAAATTGTTTGGGATATGTAGTATATTGGTGTAATTATAATTTATAAAATAACTGACTTCTTTTTCCAAAAAACAATAAAAAAATTACAAAACAAAATAATGTGATAAATAATAAATATTTTTTTTAAAAAATGACAACTTTTAGATCATCACTTTTATTTAATATAAAAAACGTGTTGTTAATAATTATTTTAAACTTGAATTATTATTGTTTGCTTGATGAATATTGTTGTTGTGTTGTTGTTTATAACCCTTTCGTTAGCAAACAAAATTGAACTTCAAAAATGTCCATTGGTGGAGAGTAGTGATGGACTCGAAATAAACAGTATAGAATATGATGGAAGTGCATTTAGAAGTGGTACCAACTTTACAATACACTTCAGTATCAAAAAACGTGTGGCTCAGCTCTTTTTCTTTCCTCGTTTAGATTTCCATGGCGGTATTTTTAAATTTGGTATGTATGATTTAGAAAGAATAGATATGTGTGAACTGATAAATGGATGTGAAGGAAAACTTGGAGATCAAACAATTTCATTACAAATAGGAATAAAAGAATTTTCCTTTTTTGGGTATTACATGTTAACTCTTGGTCTTACAGACGAAAAGTATTACGGAGAATGCCAAACTGGAATGATTTGGTTGAATTAATTTGTATTGTAATTCATGTTTAATCAAAAATAGTTGATACATAATCTTAAATAAAATTGAGTTACTTTAATTATATTTTATAAAAACAATTAAAATGTTGTAAATGTTATTATAATACATAAACCTATTTTTGTTTTGAAACATCACAATTTATTTCAATTTTTTCTAATTGAAGTAAATTCCTACACATAGATGCATAAATACATGGTGCCAAAATCTTAATTTTATATTAATTCTTTTCAGAAAAAAAAACAGTAAAAATCAAAATTTAAAACCTAATTTTTTACATCAACAAATCCCTAAATTTCATTAATTATCTTGGCACCCATTTATTATACTATCTGTAGTCAGGCAAAAATTTTGTTTATTCTCCGACGTTGTTTAAGAATTTTTATTATATAGAAACTATAATATTTGAGTAAACTATTCAAAACATTACAAAACAATCGTTTCCTATTTTTACTGGGGTTTCGACGTTTTTCCCAATTCCCATTTTAAACACATTTTGAGTGTTTTTTTTGTTAAACAAACAACTTTTTTGGACAGATTTTTTTATTTATAAATCGTTGTAAAATACCTCAATCATTTTTTGAATGTTTTTTAAAAAATTATTTTTGAAAACGTCAAGAACATGGAAGAATTATTAAAGTGCTATAAAACCCGAACATATATAATATATAACATTAACAATGAAGTGTGCTGCCTCAAAAGCTAACTTTTGCTCTTCCAGAAGATATTGTGGAAAATCTCCGGAAGTCGACACAAACATCATTTCCGTCGATTTTAGTAGTCTTCAAACCGAAATTGAACCTCTTCAAAGTGAACCCCCAAAGTGTCCGTCGTGTGCTTCATATTTCACTCTTAATTCTTTTACGGAAGATGGCAACATAACTTGTCCATTTTGCAATGCAATAACTCGTATATCTTCTCCAAAAGATAGTTATATATCAGAAGAGACTGTCGAGCTTGTGATATCTCCTCCCGAACTTCAAAAACTTGAAAAAGTCGAAGAAAAGACCGAGAAAACTGAAGACAACAAAACAATTGTTTTCTGTATTGACGTGTCAGGTTCTATGGGTTCTAGGCCAACCGACAAAAATGGGAAAACATTGAACAACACTTCTGTTTTGGAAGTAATCAAGTCAGCAATGACTCACCAAATCAAGGCGATGATCACTGAAAATCCACATCAGAAAGTTTGCATTGTCACATTTGATAGTGATGTCACAATCCTTGGAGACTGCACAAAAACACCAATAAAAGTGAACCGCAGCTTCATGAATGACTTTGACAGTTTAGTCGACATTGCAACCGAAAAAATCGAACTATCAACACTTGAAATTTCGTCAGAAAAAATCCTTTCATCGCTCAAAGCACTTCATTCAGGAAGTTGTACTGCTCTTGGCCCAGCACTTTTGGTCTCGACAGTCGCTGCTGGAAAACAAAATAACGGCTCTGTGATTTTGTGTACGGATGGTCTTGCAAATGAGGGACTTGGAAGTCAAGGAAGTCAAAATGAAAAAGCATTTTATCAGCATGTTAGCGAAGTGGCGAGAAAGAGTGGAGTCATAATAAATGTCAACACCGTGAAGGGGTGTGATGCTAATATGAAAGTGATTGGTGAGTGTGCTGTACTCACTGATGGACAAGTGATGGTGGTTGACCCAGAAAACATCACAGACGCGTTCAAAGGTGCCCTTGACTCCGAGTTGATCGCAAGACAAATTGTTTTGGACGTTTTCCTCCCACAAAGTTTGTACGTCAAGGACGAATTTTCAGATGTAAAGGTGAGTAAGAAAAGTGTTGATGTTGGGAACGCACTTGATGACACAACTTACCAATTTAAATACGCCAAGAGAAATGGTGACGATAAATTGGAGACTTTCACAGTTCAACTTGGGATAAAATACACAAAGAAGAATGGAGGAGTCTATTACAGAATCATCACAAGAAAAATCGAAGTCGCTAAAGAAGACGAAAAGGTAGATTTGAACGGAGAAGTGTTGCAGACGTATTACATCCAGCAAACTGCAGAACACAAAAGAAGAGGATCTATTGAAAGAGCTAAAGAAAATATTGGGATGTTCAGACAGGCACAACAAGTCTCCAAACAAGAAATGCAATCAGAATATAATACTTATGCAGATGACATGGAAGATAAACTCGAGGAAAACAACGACGAAGCATGGGCTGTTAATCAGACCGCGAGTAAGTGGAGCATGAAGAAAGCAAAGAAATTTAGTGGAAAATAATTCTTTTTAGCGATTTTTTTTCTATTTTTACATTAACATTTTTGTTTAAAAAAACCGTATTTGAAAAATACTTTTAAATATGATATTGCATCGAATTTGATATATTGATTAATAATTTTATTATTATTAATTGTAAGTATAATCGAATGTTTTTTTTGTTTAAATCAACTATTTATTTATATATTTTTACTTAATTTATAATATATTCAAAGTCTTTATAATTATATAATTTATAATTGTATTATTTAACATTTATTAATCAAAAACAACAAATAAACAAAGCAATCAATCAATAACAATCAAACAACTCATCTCTTTGTATCTTTCATTTCATGTTCTTTTAATTTTATGAAATGCTCTATATCTCATTTGTTATTTAAGCGTTCTTGTTTTTGTGCAATTTGTTGTTTTGATTTGGATATCATGCCATTGAAGCACGAATCATAAATAAAATTGGAGTTTGGTCGTTTTTAATCAACAGGAGGGACTTTTTTCAATAAAATAGTCACGTTGGTTATGCAAATGTTCATACACATTGGTATAAACTCTTTTTCCTCTGTACAACATGTTGTTTCTAAATGTCTTGTTTTTGTACAATTTTGGAGCAGATCAATAAAATAGTTGATAGTTAGGCCATATTTTTCATTCTATTTTTTAACAACATAGAGGCACTTTTTATAATAAAAAGCAGCAATAACCATGTAAGTGTTCATTTGAATTAACACTTTTATTTTTATAAGTCATGTTGATATAGAATGTGATAATGTACTATTAAAACGATGCTCATTTGTTGTTTGATTGTTAAGACATAATTACTATGTGTATATATTGAGGACAAGGATAGACTCTTTTATTCTAAAAGAGTAACAACAATAGGATTGGTGTTTACGGTAGATTCTATTTTTCATGCAAATATATTCAATATTTGCATGATTAGCCGACTCATCACGAACCGGCCTATATTTAGGAGATCGTATTCTAATTGGTTAATATTTATAAAGTTGATCAAAAAGAAACAAGCCGTTTTTTATAATAACAATGTTTGTTGACCAAGTGGGAAGGCGTCATATTCACTTTTGATAATAATAATAATAAAAGTGAATATAATAATATAATAATAATAATAATAATAGAATAAAGAGAGAATTTTGGTATTTTTTACTCGTTCACCAGCGACGCCTTCGTTGTTATGTGTTATAAATTTGGTTTGGTTTTGTCACTATTTCAAAGAAATAGTGAAAATAACACATAATATATTCTTACCACACTGAAAATGATTTCTAAAATGTCTGTTTCTCATATATTTGTATCATTGACAATCGTGTTGGTAATACAATTTGTTGTTTTAGTATTTAGTCATAGTTTTTATGCTTTTTCATATCATATTCATTTCAAGTTTTTGAGAAATGAGGTTGACTGTATATACATTAATCCACTTGGTCTTGTATAAAATAGATTCGAGATAATAATAGTATGATCTACTTTAGATCATGCGATTATGACTAACATGTCATTCTTCAGGTCTGATATGTTAGATTATAAAATTCTTGCTTTAAATATCAATTGTTTTTATCTATTTTTATATTTTGTATTTTTTTGTAAATAAATAACACGATAAATTATTTGAATCTGTTGAAAACACAATCACTTTGGATCTTTTTATGCTTTTTGTTGTATTCTTTTATAAAGTATTCAATGCACTTTACTTATTGATTGATTATTTTTTTTCTGTTAAATTAGAACCCAACAATTCTTTACTTAAAATACAAGCCATTTAACCATCAAAAAACAATGCAACGCCACCGTGTCTCTTTTTTTTTCATTGTTGTTTAGTCGTTTTTATTGATATTTATTTATATTTAAAAATTTAGGTGTAAAATTTAAGTTTAAATCAAAAATAGTTATTTTAAAAAATATTTTTTTATTAAAAATCATGTATGTTGTCAATATCGTTGATTTATAGGGTGGTTTATCTTAGTGATTCTTAATATGTTCACAAATCAATTTTTTAATATTAAGTTATGTCTTGTAATTTATTAATTATTATTATAATGATCATATATTTTGTTGTTTAAAAAATCCAAAAGTAACTGTTATTTTAAAAGTCAAGAAATAAATATAAAAATTGTCTATCAAAATATACAACAAAGAAAAAAACTAAAATTAATAATTAATTTATAAAAAGAAACAAACAAGTTATTTATACAAACAATTTATTTTATTTTGGGAAAAATGACAAATAAAAAATATTTTTAGTAATTGAATATAATTTTTACATATTTTTTGAATTTTTGATTGTTGGAATTTTAAAATAGACCCTTTTGTTTCGTCTTTTTTAATAAAGTAATAATTCTATTAAATTAATTTTTTCTTACATTTGGTTTCTTTTTAGTAAAAGAATGGTGCGCTAGATTGAACCTTGGGTGTTGAGACTAGTGTACTAAGTATTCAATCTGGGCTTCGATCCATCAGAATAATAAGTGTCATGTTTCTTAACTTTAGCAATTTTGTTTAAAATCATCTTCTTTTGTGTTTCAAAACCCTTGATCTGGGTTTGTTATTTATCTTTTTGTTTGAAGTCTTGTCTTTGTCTGCTTGCTAATTTGACTGTACAGCTATCAAAGCAGTTCAGTCCTTCTTTTTTGCTACAAATACTTCTTTTTTTCATTCTTTAGTTATTTTGTGTAAATAGTTATTGAATTCAAAACTTCAACGTCTGTTTAACTCATGGTATATTTAACCGTAAAAGACCAATTAGCCAAGTCTTTAATTGTCTTATTCGTGTTCTCTTTTGCTGTTTGTACATATTTCTAAGAAGTATTTATTGATTGTTTATATTATTGATTAACTTTACTATTTTGTTGTTGTTGCAAAATGTAAAAAGCCTTCATGGTTGTGAAGGCTTTTTACACATAATGATCTGAGTTATTCGACAGCTCTTACAGATAGAGTAATTAATGGGTGACAAGAATAAATTGGGTGACAGATTTATTTTAAATAATTTAATAAGTCTTTTATAGAAATTGTTTTTTGTAAACAAAAAAAATCCAGAAACCAAAACCCATCTTTTTACACCAATTAATTTCTATTTTTTTTGTCATCTGTAATTACAAAGTTATAATTAAATATAATGTTTTTAATTTAGAAACCTCATTTAATTATTTCCTTTTAAAAAATGAATATTTGGGATGTTTAATAAATATTATTATTATTTAAACTATTATATAATAACAAAACTAAAAAAATAAATAATGTTAATAGTATTTACCAATCATTTTATTTTTTCTGTTTGATTATAATAAATATTATTATTAAAAATAATACCATTTTTAATAATAAATGGTATTATTAACATTATTATTTCCCAAAAATAACGGGAAAATACTGTAAACTAACCAAGTTAATAAAAAAACAATTTGAAGAATGTCGCTTTTTGGTGTGGGTACTTTGCAACATTTTAAATACATTTTTTCAGAAAGCAAACTGACTTTATGAATATTTCCTTAAAATTATAATAAAAGTAATTATAAAAATATAATAAATTTGTTGTTTTAAGGTATATTATTAATGATATATGTGAATATAGTATTTTATAATAGTAAAATATAGGATTTGTCAAATACTTGAAATAGAACAACTATAGATTATAGATTAATAAAATAAAAATAACTATTAAGAAAAAAATTGGTTTTTGTTATAGTTTTAATAATAAAACATGTTCAATGAAGAAGTTAAATTATGAAAATGGTTTTCAAAAATTAAATTGTTTAAAACAAAGTGCATCCGCCCTTCTTTCCTTTTTTCCCCTTCGCCTCAGTTGGTATGCCTTTCACTTCGGCGTACTTAGCGATGATTTTTTTGAGTGTTTCTTGAGCTTCCTGGGTGTTGTGGAGGTCAAGTTCAAAGTAAAGAGCTTGTTTTTTCTCTGCGATTTCTTTCACTTTAGATGTGTCCAAGTCCGCACTTTGGTCTTTTTTAGTGACAATGAAAGCCATCACGTCGACGGTCTGATCAAGGTATGACTTGGTTTCGATAAGTCCGCCAAGCATTTTCATCTGATCGTTTGCCTCTTTGTCCAAATTTGAGTTTGAAATGACGAATATGTGAATTGTACCGCTGGAAGCGTATGTCGCTACTGTCGCGCTTTTTGAGGTCAAAGAGTTTCCTCCGATATCGTAAATTAAAACGTCAAATTTGGCACAACCGACAGTGACACTGGTTTGTGATGGTATTTCCTGAGTGGACTCAACATAATCTTCACAAAACGCGTTATCGACGACATCCTTGATAAACGTGGTCTTACCACTTTTTGCAAAACCAAACATGACGATATTTGCTTTCTGCGCTTCGGCCATTTGGTGAGTTTGAATGTTAATTTGAGTTACACAGTTTTTTAGTGCTTGTTTTTTTGGAGGGGAAGCAGGATGATAGAAATGTGGAATAAACTGGTTCTTTTATTACAGAAGTTTAGTTTCTTTTTTCTCATATTTGTCGACATCAACTATTTTTCTTCTGATGTTTTAACCCGGGCTTAAAAACTTTTGGGATAAACAATAAAAATTGAAATATTAATATGAATCACATTGCAATTTCTTTGTGTTTTTGTTCAATTTTAAGTGATTGTATTGATTAAATATGTGTGTCGGATTGCAAATAAAAAATGTGTATTAAATTTCGTCCCAAATATGTGGCGAGGGTAATTACTTTTTTGAAGATCATAAAAGTAATTGGTAATAATTTTTAGATTTCGCCTTGTTTAAAAAAACATTGAAATGAAACAAACGATTCTTTAACATAGCGACTTTTTTTCCCAAAATATTAATAATTTACGACCTAAATCTTTTAGAATAACTTCATGTTTATAAGAGGCAATAATGAGATGTGGTAACTACGAAGTGTTATGTGGCAGAACAATAGTTTTCAAAAATTAATTTAGTACAATAACGATTTTTTTAAGTTTATTAAAAAAAATGGATTTAGTTATTTATTGTTTTAATTTTTTTATTATTAGAAATATGTCCCAATATTTTTTGTCATAACTACTCTTTGAAATTTGTCCGGATTTTCGTCATGTGAAAGGCAAAATTCACAGTTATTACTACTTTTATCATTCACAAACACTTCTGACACTCAAAACTTATTAAACTTTATCGAAATAGTATTACCCACTTAAAAAGAAGATCTATATCGAAGCTTTTAGAAGTTAATTATAAAAAACAAATTATCAAAAGACAAAAAAATAAGTCGATATTAAAAACGATGTGTATTATCAAACGTGGTTTTATAAAATAATAATTGTGGTACATAAAATTATTCAAATTCAACTTTAAAGGTCGATTCATAATCTATTGCATAACAACACACGACATATAGTTCGATACAAACAATAAACGAAGTCAAAAATTAATGCAAAAACCACACCCAAGTAACACACAAAAATACAATTATAATTCAAAATGCTCAAAACATTCGACCACTTGATCAATATTGAATCTGTTCGACGGGTTTTGTTCCCACATTTTCACAATAAGCCCAAACTCGTGGTTTTGGATTGACGCGTGTTGTTTGAGTCTTTTACCGTTGTTCACAAAGTCTGCGATTTCCCATGGAAATTTGAATTGAGGCGGTTGATAAGCCAAGCTCCAAGAGAGGCACTCATACAGCGTAACACCAAAAGAAAATATGTCTGCCTCTTTCTTGTATTTCTCCTGGTTTAGGATTTCTGGTGCCATGTAAATGGGTGTTCCGATGCCCTTTGTGAATGTCATGTTGGTCATCAGCATGTTGACGTTTCGCGCACTCCCAAAGTCGGTCAGCTTCCCAAAGACGCTGTCGTTCCAGTCCATCGACACAACAAGGATGTTGTCTGGCTTGATGTCTCTGTGTAAGATCCCGTTTCTGTGGAGGTATTGGATGCCACGTGCTGCGTCTGTTCCAATTTTGACGCGTGTTCTTTTCTCGACGTTGCATTGATTTGTCTTCTTGATCAAATCCATCAAACTGCCGTGTTTTGCAAACTCAGTCACAATACATATCTTGTGCGATACAAATACAGCACCATAGAAGTGGACGATGTGCTCGCTTCTGAACTTGTCCAGCATCTGCACCTCCTTCTCAAACTCGTCAATCTCACTCTCAAGTATCACATGGCTTTCTGTCTGTTTCAACTTCTTGATCGCAACTTTGTTACCTCTGAATGTCCCAATAAAGACAACACCAAATGAGCCTTCACCAATCTGCTTCTCTTCTTCAAGTTCGTTTGGATCAAGACGCGTTGTCACCTCTGTGTTTGCCTTCATGTTGATGTTGTTGACTGTTTCATCGCCACTCTCAATCGACTTTGTGACAAGTGCTATTGTTGTGTTTATCTTTGTTGTGTAATTTGGCGTCAGAAACAGTTCAAATTCAGAGGCACACCCTTTGTGGATTGTCACAACACTCGGCGTAATCCGAAGTGAAAACTGTTCATCACACGCATTCACAGACATCTGCACCTTCATCGCACGTTCACTCAAATTGCCAACACACAACAGTTGTCTCGTTTCTTCACAAACTCCGATCTCTTCAATGTCAGTGTTGAAATCAACCACTTTCGTGTTCACACAGACACCACCATGAAGACTCACAAATTTCACGTTCGATCGTTCCATATTAAAAGTTGTTACCTTTGCCTCTAATGATTTCATTGCAGACCGTTCGACAAAATACTGGACAGACAAAACGATGATGACCAATGCAACAACTAGTATGATGACAAAAATAAGTGATGAAATAAAGAAAACCCACCACACCGCCTTTAAGTAGCAATATTCACCACTTTCTGATGCCTCATGCCAGAATGTACACTTTGTGCATTTCGACTTTTTCACTTCAACACAATTCTTCACCATTACCACGTCAACACAGGAAGTTTCATGAAGTATTTGACTGTCATCACATGACGTGCAAACAGTCTCAGAAACACAACTCGCACACCCAACACACTTCTTGCACTGATTTGTTTTGAATGTGAAATAACCATCAACACACTTTGCACACCCATTTTTAGTCACTTCAACACCACACCCAACAATATTGCTTCGCGACTCACACTCATTGTCAGACGTCAAAAAGTTGGTTGAGTTGCATGTCAGGCATATCTCTTTTGTGTTACATGTCGCACACTTCACATCACACTTGTTGCAATCTGTCCCATTTCTGTAATACCCATCTCTGCATTCTACACACCCACGTGTGATTGCTGAAATCTTGTTGCACACTTCAAGCAGTTCTTCATTTGTCACACACGCGTTGTTGCTCAAAAAGTACCCATCTTTACATGCAGTGCACTTTGTACTCTCTCCAAAACAACTCGAGCAATTTCCTCCACAGTCATCACAAATACCACTCTCGGCATTCAAAAACTTCCCGTCAATACATCGATAACACCCAAGTGATCCACTGATCGAACAATTGCCATTTAATTGTGTTGTTATACATTTATTGTTCCAGTTATCCAAAATCATCCCCTTTTCACATTCAATACACATTCCATTTTCAATTGTGATACATTTATCAATAATTTTTGTGCAATTTCCATTCGAATCTTTGACCTCTCCTAATTGACATTCAATTTGAACACAATTGTTCTTTTCTTCCAATTTGTACCCATCTTTACACGATTCAACATATTTTATTCCACATAATGAACTTGCTGTGTATAAAGACTCACACTCTTTACAGATGTTATTTTCAAGATAAAACCCACTGTTACATGAAATTACTTTGTTGCCAGTTACAATTGCATCCCCCTCGGATTTACTTACACATTTACCTTCTTTAAGAATTGTCCCAAACAAACATTCAACACATTCTGTTGATTTTTTTTCAAGACAATTGTCTGTCGGTTCTTCACATAACCCACTTGACCCAACAACATACCCATATGTACACTTTTTACACCGCCCATTCTCTATATCTTCACAGAGAAAGTCGTCGACACAAGTTCCATTGAAATTTATATATCCAACTCCGCACTTTTCACATTTGTAGTTGTCTTTTGAATCAGTGCAAATGAGACAACTCGATTCTTTACAGCTTCTACACAATCCACTCAACAAGTCAGCACCTCCTTGTTCGCATTGTATTCCCTTTATACACTTCGCAATTCCATTCTCAATGTATAATATTTGGCACAGAGTATTTTCGAACAGAAATTTTGAATCAGACACTATAAATATCTTTTTTGTTATGTTTCCTGTTGTTATTTCAACAAGACCGTCTGACTTGATATTTAATATAAACCCATCACCAACAAGTCCAATTGAAATTTTCTTGTTATGAATCAAAATGATATTTTCATCCAAAGTTGTACCATCTCTCTTTGAATTTGACTCGGAAATTTGTGATAGTAAGTCGACAGTAACCAGTTTTAAATAAGATTGTATTGTAATGAAACAATTTGAAGTGTCACACTCTCCACACCAATCTTCAAGAAATGTACTCGACGAGTTTATCACACTTCCATTCAGATGACAGTAAACAGCTGTCGACGTACCGTATCTCAGTAAATGCCCACTTTGAAGAAGAGTAAACTTATCTGTTGGAATTGAACTAAACGTAAACCCAGTTGAAGAGTATGCAAGATCAAAACTCTTATCAGAGTTGACCACAATATATGAACTTATTTCAATGTAAGAAACTCCAATAAAAAGAGGGAAACTTTCAAGCCCACGAGTTTCAGAATGTAAAATACACCCCGTCATAAGTCGGATTTTTGAAGTCTTTACTTGTGCTACATCATTAAAAGTTAAGTCTCCACTATCACAAAAAAAATCATGAATAATATTTTTTGTTTTTGTTGTATTAAGAACAAAACGCCCTTTATTCTGTAAAGTTACAGAAGAACCTTCATTACAATATATTCCTGATGTATCTAAAAGACTCAAAAGTGAATTGTCGATTGAAACTAATTTTCCTGGAACAATGACAGAGTCCTGGGTTAAAACAACAGTGCTATTTAAAGTGACAAAAAGTGTATCTAAATTTGACGTGGAATAATCCTTCAAGTTAAAAATAGAATTTGCAAGTGTGAAATTCGCAATGGAATTTGTTGACGACTTTCCAAGTAAATTAAAAGTGGAGGTAATAACCTCGACGTTAGAAACTAAAAACTTTGCACCGGAATTTCCAGAACATTTTATCTCTGAATTTCCTTCTGCTTTCAAGAGATAATTGGATGACAAATATCCCTCGATGTTAAAATGTGCATTATTAGAAAGAGTGATATTTGTGTTTAACTGACACTGCGTGTTTGAAGAAACAGTCGCAGTTTCCCCAGAAAAGTTGTTAGTAGGGCATGTGTAGTCTTCTTTTATTGACGCGCTTAAAGAAAACAAATACATATTGAACAATAGAAATAACACCATTGTTTCTTCACACTATGATTAGTAGTTCGTTTGGGGTCAAATTTAGGCTTCATGTTGTATCAAAAACAACGGAGTGATTTCCCTACTATTTTTAATTTTGGTTTTCTTTGTTTTCCCATCATTTAAAATGCAGCAATTTTAACTAATGATATTTAAAATGTTTTTATACGCGTTTAATGCTTTTTATTATGAAATATAAATAACCATCTAATAATAATATTATAAAGTATAATTAAAACTATGGATAGTGGAATTTTTTTTGCATTTCTATCTTTTTGTCAAAGTACTTTTCTTTAAACTCAAAATAATGTTCGATCGTATTAAAACATTTTTGTGTATAAAAACGGGAAATATAAATAAAATGAAATGCCAGAATTTGTTAGAAGAAAGTAATGTCTTTTTAATGATGATTTAAAGTGTGAAAATGATAATTTAATAATTATCATTTTTATTAATAATATTATAGTAAAAATGTGAATGACTACCAAATACCATATAGTATAGTAAAATTGTTAATAAATAAGCTACAATAGATTTAATAATCATTTGCTATTTCTTTCAATTGATCTTTCATTCTCTGCATTTTCTTCTGCACAATACTCTCGATGGTCTCATCTGTGCCACACCCAGTGTCTTCTTCTTTAATATTTTCGTTGTTTGCGCCGTTGTCCACTTCGACAAGTATTTTGGTGACTTGATTAAAGGTCGGTCGTTCTGTTGGTATATTTCTCCAGCATTCTTCCACCAACTCTGCATAGTCCTTTGGCATTTTCTCATCGATCTCCAGTCGTTTACCGCTGACTACAAATTGTTTGATCTCGAAAAGTGACTTGAAATCTTTAAATGGTTCTTCTTGGTAATACATTTCCCATGCAGTTACTCCAAACGAATACACATCACCCGCAAAAGTGTATTCGTCCTGATACGACTCTGGCGATGCATAAATTGGTGTCCCAAGTCCTTTATCTTCCCCACCAATTTTAGTCTTCTTTAAAAATCTTGACGTCCCAAAATCGGTGATTTTGATGGTACACGCCGAGTTGGAGTCCAACGAGTTGACCAACAAATTGTCTGGTTTCAAGTCCAAGTGCATGATCTTATTTTCATGTAAAAACTGCATACCTCGAGCTGTATCGTACAACATTCGCACTTTCAATTTGTATGGCAGTTTAAAGTAGAATTCTTTGTCCTCACGCAGATACTCACTCAGAGAGCCTAAGACAAAATATTGAATGACCATCGACACTTGGGGAAGGTATGTGACCGATCCTATATAATTCGCGATGAAGGGATTCCGCAATTTGCTCATCATGTCACACTCGTACATGACTTCCTTCTTCATTTCGTCCATCTCCGTGTCTGTCAGACTCTCCCATTTAAATTGCTTGATAGCGACAGGGACACTCCGGTAATTTCCTATGAACACATTGCCCATTGCTCCTTCAGCAAATGGCTTTTCTGAAATGCCCAACTCGTCCAAGTCGATGTGTGTTGAACACGCGGCGTCTGTAGTTATAGTGAAGCTGTAGTGACTTCGCAATGCGACTTTATTACAGAGCTCCTCCATACTTTTTTGGTCTAAACTCGTCCACTCTTCAAATGTTTTATCTTTCAATAACTCCGCAATTTGTATCAAAACATGTTTATTCTTCGACAACCAGACAGTGTATGGAATCTTCAAATTTCTAATTTTTGTTGTTGTGAAAAGTGTCATGTACACGGTGACTGTTTTTATTGTGGAATGTGGAGATATAAATAGTACTTGTGGTTCGAAGTGGAAGATGTATTTAGGCGAGAGTGGGGCGTGGAATATGATCATCAGACTAGCAAGTGAGTACTTCTTCTGTGATTTTAAAGCAATGAAACAAACTACTTGGTTTTGCTATAATTCTTGACTTCTATTTTTTGGTACCTTGTGTCGAATATCTCAGTTGCTTGCTCGACATTTCCAAAGTCCAAGTTCGTTGGCTTCAACAAGTATTTTTCTTTCTTTGATTGTTCGAAATTTGAAGAGCCTGAGATGTAGTAGTGGTATTGTGGCTGTCTTTGTTTCAACGTATTAGTGTCGATACGATCGAGTTTAACAGTGAAATAAATAATAATAATGGTGATAAAAAGAACTAACACAAACCCAGCAGCTCCTCCAACTACAATGCCAACAATAGCATTGGAAGAGAGAACTTTTTTTTTACAAGACAGTGGGTCACCTTCTTCTGTGATATATCCATTCGCACATTTACATTCATCTATAACACAGTTGTGTCCCCCATCACACTACATTATAAGTTATTAATAAATTGAATCTAAAGAGTACAAACTTCTTCCTTTCGAATGTAATGATTGTCTTCATCATAATATGTGTCTATTCTCCCATTTCCACACATCTTGTGTTTACACTTGTTCTCTCTGGTCACCTCATAATCGCTTTCACAATGACAGCTTTGATCACACCCCTCCGTATTGGCAACACACATCTCTTCCGTGTACTTTCCTTGTATACACAAATCAGAAACACACAAATGATTAATCAACGTGTATCCAGACTCACACTGACAGTACTGATCACAATTGTGACTCCCAAATTTACACGAATTGGTGTTGTCTTCTACTGTCCATGTTCGGTTATAATAACACTTTAAATGACAATCATCTCCTCCATACTTATCACTACAAACACACTTCGCAGCATTGGCAGAACATACCCCGTGGCCGGTATTAAAGTTACAATCGTTGGGACAAATCACTCTAAATTGAATTGTTTGCAGGGATTTCTGGTCTTTTGAGAGGAGAGAAAACAACTGCTTTTTGTCACTTCCTTTAATTTGAATTAAAGTCCCGATTCGCTCTTCTTCACCTAATACACCGATACGACGCCCTTCCCATGACCTTAAACAAGATAAATTCACTAGACCAGAATCGTCAAAAGTTATATCGTACTGTTGAATGAAGTTCATTCGATTTTCCTGAGTTGCGTTGAGTAACAAAGAGTAATTACCAGTGAACTGAATGGAGAACGGGACACTCTTCAATGTGACAAATGGGAAGCAAACACTCATAGAAGTGATTCCTTTCTGTTCTAATGGTACTTTCCACGTCAATATGGAACTTAAATTTGAGGAGAGAACATCAGCATCGTGTTGTGTGAAATTGAAAAGATCATAATTATAATTTGAGTTATTTTGTTGATATTTGATGGTAACATCGACACTAATAGTATTGTCCATACTCACAAAAAAGTAATATATGGACCCCGTGTTGCTATATATGTTGTTTGAGTGAATAATAGGCAGTGTCATATCAAAAGATAGCATTGTATTATCAATTTTGGTGTGCATGAAGCACTCTGTTTGTTCTGATGTATTTGGTGAATTAGTAACATCGACATCAACATTGACATCAATTCTGCTTTTAGTGATTTTAAATACAATGTATTGGTCTGTTATTGTGGTGATATCAAGTGAAAACCATTTTCCAAGTCGTGTTCTTTGTGTGTAATAACAGAACCCATAATCAGTGAAAGAGTTCAAATCTAATGTGAAATTGTAATCATTGACTAAATCAATTTCAGTGATGTAGTTCGTGTCTGGGATCTTCTTATTTCTCGCCTTTAAGACAGTCTGCGTTGCTTTGATACATCCACTGTCATTCTTGATATAGTAAATACGATCTTTTGTGTTCTCAAGAGCACAATTAAGGCAAGAAGTATCATTGTCATATCCTTCTGTACACCCTAGACATGTGTATTCAAAAAGACAACCATTGATGCACCCAGGAGAACACAACAAAGAATCACTAGATACTATAATGTATATTATTATTAAAAACATGGTCAAATGAAAGTTATTTGTTGGCAACTTTTATAGTGTGATTAGACATGTATGGTTTTGTGATTCATTGGTACTCGTTGGTCGTTTTGTGACTCTCCTTATTCAAAAATAGAAATACTGTAACCATATTTTTACAATGAAAAAATTGGATTAATTTTTCAACTTCAATGTTTTTAATTCACCTTTACATATCTAATAGTTTTGGAAATGGTTGTTTAAAAACAAAGGTTTCTAATATGTTTTTATTTGGAGTATACATAAAAAAGATTTGGAAATGGACAAATCTTTTGTAAATGGAGATCAGACAATTCATTTGAAATTTAAATACTTTTCAAAATAAAAATAAAACTAAAAAATTATTTTAAAAAAATGTCATCGATTTATTAACGAAAATGAAAAGATAAGAAGAAAATACCAATAAAAAAAAGTTTATCAAAATTGTCGTAAACTGTGTTAATATATCTCCTGAACTGAAGTTAATAACAACTAATTAAAGAATTACAAATGAATAGTTTTTTATCAATAACAAAAACAAAAGTAATTAATATACTTATTAATAATTTAATTAAAATAATCTACTATCAAATTAATTTCTTAGAATAATTATTTTTATTATAACAAATTACATTTTTGAAAAACAAAACAAATAATTATTTATTATTAATAATATTTTTTTATACAAAAATAGTATTATTCAAATAGTTAAATAATGGTATTTAATATAAAGAATAATAATCCAAATTCTCAAAAAAAAATAACAATTTATATATTTATTAACAAAACTATTAATGTAATATAGTTTAATTTATATTATAAATTATAACACAAATTGAAAGAAACGAATGAATTAGTACTGGCTGACTTTTTCCTCAGAATTGCAAGGAGTAGTCACGACATTTGCGTCCATAATAGCTTTAATAAGTTTAGGAAGAGTTGGTGCAGTGAACTCTTTCTTTTTACTGACAATTTTAAAAACGACTTTCCCCTTTAATTCCATTCGTTCTATTCTAGCATGACCAGTCTTTCCCATATCTCTTTTTGACAAAGTGAAGGGGTACTTCGGGTCTGTTGTCGAGATACGAACCAAGAACGTTCCGTCGACTCTACCGTCCAATTGTGATTGTGCTTCTTCCTTTGAGACTCTGTTATAGAACCACATAGCGTCGCACGTCTCTATCAATGATGCGAAGTCATCTTTATCACTAAAGAAGTGTCCAAACAGTTTAACTAAATGCCCCAAAAATTTGACGGTAACTTGACTGTCTTCTGAAACGACGGGAATGACTTTCTCTTCGACTGGCTTCAATTTCTTCCCAAATTTCGAATCGAGTTTACTCATAAGTTTGGCGACACTAACACTCGTCTCGAGTTCCTCATTCTTCTTTGAATCGACAATTGAGAAGTTCTTCTTCCACCACTTCGCCGTCTCCTCGTCCAAATCCGTTCTCAATCCGGCTTCCTTTAATTCCTGAATCATCGCATTGATGTCCGGACGCTTCTCTGGATTTCTGTCCCACGCGTGTTGCATGACATCTTCAAATTCGATTGGAATAGTCTTAGAGACCTCTTCATAATTCTTGTTGACTTGATCGAGAGTATATCCTGTTGTGAACTCATCGTAGTTGTTGATGTCTTTGGCGATATGTCTTGGGAGGGGTGGACGGACACCCTTTTCAATAGCATCTCTGACATCATCGACACTTTGTGCATACGTGCTGAATGGGATGTCTTCGAAGAACAACACCCACATAGTAATCGCCAAGGAAAAGATGTCCAACTTTTTGGAGACTATTTTGGACGTAACTTCTGGCGCCGCGTAGATGGGTGTACCACATATGTGCTCGTCCTTTTGATTCTGCACAAGCGCAAAACCAAAGTCGGAGACTTTGACATTAAGTAACTCATCAACTAAGAAATTGTCTGGTTTAACATCACGATGGACTATGTTCATACCATTGTGCAACCACTGAATACCTTTGCAACACTGCATAAACAAGTTTGTCTTGACTTCAACAGTCTTATTCAAGTTACGTAAAGTGGGAGAGACTATGTTATCGGGGTCGAAGAAGAGTGAATACAAGTTCGTTTGCATCAACTCAGTGACTAAAACGACTTGTTTTGAAGCTAAAAAGCTCACTCCCAAAAAGAGAAGGACATTTGGGTGACAACACTTCTTTAAAAGACTCGCCTCATCTATAAACTGCCTCTGTTCTTCTTCGGAAAATTTGGAAGAGTTCGATATTTTCACTGCTACATTTAAGCCCTTAATTTGACTTCTATACACGGACCCAAAGGAACCAGATCCTATTAAATCGTCTTGTGTTATTTGTATCAATTTGGGATCAAACATCACTGAATTATCTTTAAGGTCTCTCTCCTATCAGGTTATTGTTGTTTGCTTATAAAAATGAAAATCGGAGAGATAAAAAGGTAAACAGAGTAAACAAACTGACATATCTTGGTTTAATTATCAAGTTTGAATTTATGTAAGAGGACGTGTGTAGTTCAATTGTTTATTCTTTTTAAACAACTTTTTATTTGCATTATCGTTCTATTATTTTGAAGCACTTTATTGATAAAATATTAATAAACTATTGAATACTATTCACTATCCATTTTTAATTATTACAAATTAAAAATCTTTTTGCCATTTTCTACATGTTTTTTTGGTTGAGCCTTTCAAAAATGTTGTTTTTCCAAAAACAATTAAAAAAAATCAATGTTCATTTTTAATTTAATAATAAGAATTACATAAGTGTTGTTTTTTTGATATATCGAATTGTTCTATTATTACTTTTATAATTAAAAAAATTTTATAATTAATTAAACATCAATCATAGTCATTTTTTTCCATTTTATTTATATATATTAATAAATCTTATTCATTACTTTTTTTAATAAAAATATTTCATAATGTATAATTTATTTTATATTAGTTTTTAGTTGTTTGTTAATTGTATTTATAAAAAAATATCTGTGTTATGATAGTTTTTTAATCATAAATTGTAATTTTTATAATTTGAAATTTATAAATTAATTAATAACGAATATAATAAGAATTATTTAATTTTCAAATAGTTTTAATTATTGTTGTCGAATTTTAAAAATATTCTTATGGCTGTTAAGCGACTTTTGATATTACTGAGAAGTCGGCGACTTTTTGAGTCCCTTCAAAAGTCGCCGACTTCTTTTAGAACTAAATAACTATTAACTTTAATAAATTATACCATATTCATTATAGTCTCAAAAATGTGTAAAAACACATTAGTTGTTATAATTTGTTATATTATAATCATATAAATATAATTTAAAAAATGATTTGAGAAGATATAATTGGGACGGTATTTTTTCATTTCTTTTTTTAATAATAATTATATTAAATTTATATGGTTTATTTTTTTCAATCTTTTAAATGATAAATGGTATTTTGAATAGTTATTTAACTAAATATTTAGGTCAGCGACTTTTAAGACCACTGAAAAGTCGGCGATTTTCAAAGGGACTATAAAGTCGCCGAACAGCTATTAGGAATTATTTTGCTATTTAAGACAAATTTTATATTTATAATAAAATGTATCATAATAATAATAAAATTTTGAATACTTATTTTATTACAATTTTATCATTACTTTTTACTTATAATTAAATAAATTATTATATATATATGATTAAATTAGATACCACACCCGAGCAAGATCTCTGAGTTTTTCAATTTCTTCTTCATTAAAAAATGATTTCTCCCATTGTAAATTTCTTCCAAACTTCATTGTGAATTTCTTGATAACATCATTTACATTTGAGTTTGTCTTTCTGTTTGGGAGGTTCAATAAAATTTTAATGTGTTTAGTGATTTGTTCATTCAAAAACGTTTCTCCGAGTCCGAGCGCAATATTTGCTTTAATAACTTCAATGTGTTGTTTGACTTTTTCATTATCAGTTTTAGTATGAAAGTCACAGTATGAAAAATCGTTTGTAATGGAAATGAAATATTCCAAAGTTTCTCCCAGACAATTTCTAGTTTGAATATCCGACATTTCAAACAGCTTTACAAATGGAAATTGACTCACCATATTATAATTATCAATATTTTTTATTACACTAATTAAAAACATTTTGCCAGTTTTATGCGACGTTTTGTACACTTCCAAAAAGTCTTTCATAAATGTGGTCATAACATTTTCTTCAACAAAAATGTAATTTGGAAGAATGTCATTTGAGCGATCAAAAGGGAGAAACTGTATTATTATCTCAAGGAGTTTAATAAACAAATTGATATTATTTTTAGTAATTGAAGTGAATGAATAACTGATAACTTCAAGAATTGGGTCGACTTGGTTAGGAAGTGCATGAAACTGTAAAGTCCTGATTTGTTGCATTACGTTTTGTGTAACATCAGAAAATTGTCGCCTTTCAGAAATTTGGTTCAGCAAATTCCCAAATTGGTTTGATGTTGAAATTACAAAATTTTTGTTGTGAAATAGTTTTTCTATAATTTCTGCGTTCACGTTGTTTAAAAGTGAATTTAATAAAAAAGATTCCAATACATTTCCATATATCTGCCTTTCACACTCTTTAATTAATTGCTCATAACACTTTTGGACTATTTTTACATCACTTTTCAAAAACCGCTTTTCAAAGCTTTTTTGATGTTCACTTTCAATCGTTTTTGCAGTCTCAACAAAATGTGATAAAATGTAATGAGTGCAGATCAATTGATCACTTTTTGAGAGCAAGTAACAAAATGTGCTCAACGAAATTATAATTTCACCTTTACAATCACCTTTAGGGTTATCTTTTGTGAATTCACAAATTGCATTCAAAATCAGTTTAAAGTCAATAATACCAAAAAGAAGCGAAAACACATTTTTGTCTGCTTTTCCAAAGGAATTAATAGATGACGAATACCACACAGAAATTAATGTTATTATATTTTTCTGTGTAAAATGTGTTTGTATCAAAATTGACATGTCTATGTCCATCACATTTTGAACGGTTTTATATACATTTTCGGGGAAAATTTGGTTAAACTTTTGGAAATCTAAAACGACAAATTCTGACTTTAAAATGGTCTCTTTTTCACTTTCTAAAAATTTCACTTTTTGAATTCTATGACAAAATACATTTATAACATTTGTAACAATTCTGTATAACACAGTTTTAATAATACCAATTGACTTTTCAATGACATAAAAAAGGGTCTTCACAAAATTTAAAATTTGTAATTTGTCGAAGTTTTGTGGAGTGTAAAACATTTTGTTTAATAAAAATTCAAGCTTTAAAGCGAGTTCATAACTGATTAAGTATAGTTGAAGAAACTTGGAACAAAAATTAAAAATTTGTGAGTTGTCCCAGTTCTCATATAATGAACTAAAGACTTTAGAAACTAACTTTTCAAAGTTAATGAATTTGTTGTTGTTTGCATTTTTTAAAAACTCAAAAATCTTTTCTTCTGTGTAATTTGTCAACAAAATGGGTATGAGTGATGAAATTGTTGTCACATTTTTACAAGTCGGAAAATTAATAGAAATGGATTTCTGTTGCTTTTTATAAATCACAAGTTGGCAAATTGGAACATCAAGTAATACACACAAATTGACGTATACAGAAACGATTTGTATAAAATTATTATAATTTATTATTACGTCCAAATTTTCCAAAGCCAATTGTTTTTTTATGTAAATTTTAACTTTTTCACAGGTGTACAATGGTATTGGAATTTGTGTTTTTAAAAATCGTCCAACAAACTTTTTAATGATGAACAAAAATGTTAGTATTGCTTTTGATTGTTTTGTTTTGAAATAGTGTTGTGACAACAAAGTGTATATTGTTGTTACTTTTTGTGACACTTTTTCAAGTATATCAAATTTTTTTGTTACATTCAAAAGAAGTAAGAAACTGTGAGACAAATAAACTCTTCTGACTAAACCAGTGACTTCGTTCTGTTCTGTGTTATCTTTGTTTGTTTCCAAAAACGAAATCAAGTTTTCCATTGGTTGAATGATTGCGTGTTGTGTGAAATTTGTTATTTGTTGAATTATATTTTCTTTCTCGTTTTGCTCAATATAACAATTTTGAAGAACACTAAAAATTGAGTTTGCTATTTGCCTAAACGCGTAGAATTCCTTCTTTTTGTTGTTTCCATTACATATCCCGAGTATTTGAACCAATTTTTCTATATTTTTAAACACAACAGTTTTGTTCAATGAAGTTTTTAAAAGTCTCAAAAATGGTGTTTTTTGTGAATTGTTTTCGACACTCAAAATTTGAATCAAACACTTTTTAAAAACTGTGTCTGCGTATTTTTCTGAGTAACTCATTGCCAAAAAGGGAGTGAACAGATTCTCTTTGGTCTGCTCTTCAACACAAACTTCAAAAACTTTATCACCAATTTGTTTATTAATAGTTTCACTGCAAAAAGTGGCCACAACGTAAAATGCAAGATTTAAAGATTTATCCAATGTGTTATTTTGTGGGTGTGGCATTGCTACCAGTTCCACAAATTTCAACAAAACAATTTCAAAAAGATTTGGTTTTTCCTTAAGAATTGGTGTACTAAAATGCAACACATTAGTAAACAATTTGATGGTGTTAAAATTGCAATTGTTTTCAAGAAAAGTTAACACGTATTCAACAACCACAAACGCCCTTTTGTCCTTATTTAAAATGAGTTTTGGTAATAACAAAACGAGTAACTCAAACAATTTCAATGTCGTTTCAAATAATGTTGTCGTCGCATTTTCAAACGTTTTAACGTACTTTTCGATTAGAGTGTATGTCTTCTCAGTGAGTAAAATAAACATAAAATACACCAAAGTGTTCATCATATCACATTCGTTTGAAAACACTTTGTTAAACACACACTCGACAATATTTGACTCTTCAAGATAATTAATAATTTTATCATTCACTTTATTTGATACCAAAACATTGAAAAAGAAAGTCAACGACACATCAGAAAGCCTACAAAAAACTTTATTGAAAAAATTGCAATTGGATTTGGCTTTGAAGACGTCAAACTTGTTGAGCACACAAAGAGCAACAAAAATGCCGTCTACCATATCATTTGCCCCAAACCAATTCTCATCAATTTTGTCGAAGAAATTGATCTTGTCGAAATTAATGCACATCGCGTAGTTCACGTACTTCTGCTTCTCGCAAAAGGTCTTTTGAATTGACTCGTCCATTAACACCAAGTTATCTAAAAATGTAAATTTTGTCTCGTAATTGACACTCGCCATTTCTATAGACTTTTTAAATGCAGTTTGTTCGAAAAACGGTTGGAACACCATAACATCCTCTACTGACAAATTTTTTAATAATGTCTCGTGAAATTGTGATATTTTTATTTCAGTAAAATATTCCTTCGGAGTTGGACCTATAAACAAATATTTGGTAAATGGGCTCAAGCGTTGCGATAGTAAATATATAATTTTCGATATACCATCCTCGTCTTTCTCTTTTTCAGTACCTCGACACATACAAATTTTGTCGTACACTATATTTACTAAACGATTCATTTGGTGAGGAGACAAGTCACTGGTGTAAAGAACATTCACAATATCGTCAGAGTACTTGAAAAAATTGTAAGAAGGTAACAAGTCAATGAAATGGTCCAATATAACCGACATTAGAAATTACAAATATTAATATTCACTAAGTGAACTATTTACTTTTTATTATTTCTGTAATAGTAATATTTAATTAATAATGAATTAAAATTAGAAAATTGTATTATTTTAATTATTTTTTAACTTAATGATGGTTTTTATTTATTTTATAAATAATTAAATGACTTATTATATCTACTTCGAATAATTAATAAAAATAGGGGCAGACCTTTCCCACCCTCACCCCGTCTAAATATAGAATTAATTTACTATATTTTATAATTTTATAATTATAATTATAGTAAATGGGCATTTTGGATAATATTAGGTCTGGTTCCCGAATTCAAGAAATGCCGGAAAATCACCTTGATTCAGTGGAAACCGAGTGAGACGGAGCATTGAAAAGAAGGCCCTGAAGGCCGCACTCAAACAGTCTGTTTGTGCACCGTTCACCCACTTTCCAAGTCCTCCCTTGGCGCGGATCCCCCCTGACCCCCCCTCCGCAAGCGGGGGGGAACCACATCCGCGTCCACACAGTACGGACAATGAAAGTGGGTGACATGGAGACGCACAAACAGTGGCTGAAAAGTGGACTTCCTTCAAAAAACACTCGCGGCAAATATTTTATTTTGGTAAACGGGGTGAGGGTGAGAAAGGTCTGCCCCATAAAAATATAAAAATTAAAATTACAAAAATGTTTGTTTTATTACTTCGGAAAAACAATTATAATATATAACAAAAATTAACTAAACAAATATAAATTAACAAAAACAATTGACAAAAAGGAACAATTTTTTTTACAACTAAAATATTTTTGAATTTATTTAATAGTATATATATTACAAAATATTATATTCAATAGTATTTATTTAATTCAAATTATTTAACAACTTTTTTGTTTATTAAACAAAAAAGTTTTTTTTAATTTGAAAAATCATGTTCTTTCAAATTTTCGAAAGAAAACTCACAATTTTTTTCCCGACAATCTAATCTGCTCAACGGGAAAATTGAAAAGAAAATGAAACAACTAAAGTTAATTAATTAAATAATTAATAAAATAATTAATAAAACAATTAATAAAAAGAATAATGTGCGGAACGACAACTAAAAAAAAGAACATAAAAATTTCAATGTTTCGTCGACTCAAATCGAACTCACAGTCTCTTCCCAATCGACCGTGTGTACAGATTAGCCGTTCGCCGTCATTCAGAGTTGAGTCTATTCCTGAGTTCATTGAAGTTTTTGCTCAATATGAACACGAGCGATCTCAACTCTCCATTTTTCAAGTTTTTCGAAAATTTGATGAGACGAAAAAAATGTCATCGGACTTTTTGAATCAAAATCTCGACTTCACATCATTTCTTGCGCAAACCGTCACTTTGATTGTCGAGATGAATCACCAGACATTCTTTTCGAGTTACTGCTCTACCGCTCAACCGTTCATCCAAATATTATACATCATAGTTTTGAAACGACCGGACCTCTTCACGACAAAAACGGCGCAGAAACTCACAAATTATTTAATCACATGTCTTCCCGAGATTTACGAGGGGAAGGCGGAAATCGCCATCGACCCACATTACTCCTTTCTCGAAAAAATCCAACTCATTCCAACCATCGTGAAAGACACAGACAACTCACAACCGGCCGCCGTGTTGTGGTTCGTCACACAGATCGTCGCCCTCTTCGCAAAGGCTCAAATCATCAACACCGATAATCTCATATTCACAAATTTCCCGACACAACACGTCGACGCGTTCATCGACTATTATTGCCTTGTCTTGGAAAACTACAACAATGTCCCTGTCGAGATTATGGATATGATCAAAAGGTGGGGGGTCGAGGCTGAAGCCGAGGAACTTAAAAACGACGTGAAGGAGAGTGAGAAGTATGAGAAGGAGCACATCAATGTCTTTAAAATTGAAAATGACCCCAATGGGAAAATGGGATCTTTTGATAGTGATATTAAACTGTTAGGGAAACCAATTGTCAGCTCTTTAGAAAACGTCTTTAAGATGGACGAAGACGTACAAAAGACACCAACGCCGAAAATCTTTAAGATGGTAAATAAGAGAGCAATCACTGTGAATCAAGTGATGCGCTTTCAGACAATGCTTTCGTACTTATTCCCCAACGAAATATTCTCTGGTAATTTCTTCCCGTGGAATACAAAGTGTCCAATTGAAATTGAAGTGTTGCTCTACTATTTCAATTACGTGACGTTTTCGTCTGACAAATCGTTTGTTGCAAGACTTGTGCAGTTCTACAAAATGATGCAAAAGGCCCCCGTGACGTTAACGAACGCGTTCGAATTTTGTATGACAAAACTCCTCTGCGCATCACACAAACGACATGCAAATTGCGATCTGCTCTCACCGCTGTTGGACATATTGGATAAAGCAAATACGGAATCGGCGAATAACATATTAACAGTCGCTTTCTGCTCGATCGTACATTTGAATGAAAAGGAAATTGTGGTGCTTACAAATCTGCTCAAATGTTTGTTTCGTTGGTTTGTGGTCAATTAAAGAGGCTCATCAATAGGTCCTAAGTACGCAACACAACTGTACGCAATCATTTCTACCCAACTTTCATTGATGCAGAGTTCCGAAATCTACAACCTCTTTGTCGTCAATGGACTCTCTTTCACTCTACGAAGCCACATTAACACAAACGATATATTGGAGTACCTCACATTCATGTTGAAGTTGTTTGTATCCGCACCACTCACACAAGACTTTTTAGTGAGTGAGCCCCGAAACTTCATTTGTAAAATCGTGGCGTACTCGAACATTTCAAAGGAGACGTACGATTTGATTGTGTCGTTTTTGACAACTGGCGTGTTACAAACAAAAATGACGAACTCGCATGAGAAAATGGACTTCACATACTTCACTAAGTCACTTTCTCTGTTAACTCCACCAAAAGAAATGTCGAAAATTGCACACAATTTGGCTGTGTTGAAAATTTACTCCTTGATGAGTGACAACTTGAATAAGAATGACTTGGAGTATTACTATCAATTCATCGAATCAAATTTGCTTGTGGACATTGGCGACGACAATTTGTCGACGCTGAAAGAGTTTTACACTGTGTTGTTACTCTCTTTCGAAACCTTCAAAACCCACAAAATTTTCAAACCCAAAATCATCGAATTGTTTCTGAAGAAATCGACACTCCAAAAATTAAAAAACATTTACGACAAAATTGGTGTTTGCGTGTTTAACCATTTACGCAATTTGTCACTCGACAAATCGTGTGTGATCGACAATGTTCTTTTCTTGGAAGTTTACGTCACGTTACTGGATTTGGTTGACACTGTCGAGAAGCCATTTTCGGAACTCTTGCCGTTACTCGAAAACCCACTCAACGTCGACATCTTGTCACACTCCAATTTGATCATTCCGTTATTGGCCTTAGCAAATACAAATACTCCGGTGAACTCGATTTACTACTTTCTGCAAGTTGTTGTCAACTACAACTGCGATCCAACATTCTTCTTGAAATTTTTGAAAGACATCCACGCAAATGGGTTGAGTGAAAAACAGCGCGACTTGATAGTCGACTGCACACACTGCACTCTAAAGCCACGAAATGTCATTGAAGTGTCGAAGTTGTGTGCCAATACTGTTGAGTTCAAAATCGACTCTCCTAATTCTCAAAGTCTTGGGATAACATTTTGGCTGTCGATGACTAATTACGCGGATTATTCCAAAGATGGGTTGGTCAACATCTTCAGCTTAAAGTGGAGAGATGCGGTGTTTACATTCTCTGTTTCTTCCATCGCCATTTTAGTTGAGATCAGACAAAACGATAAAGTGGATCCCGTTGAATTTGGCTTCTCTTTTCGGCTCAAAGTGTTTTCACATATATCGATCAACATGAAACAGACGAAGTCGCTCGAAGTGCAAATTGCAGTGGACGGAAAGTTTTTGAGTGGGTTTGAACCGCTTGAAATGTGTCCACTCGCGTTCTTTCCATTTCAGATTACTATGGAACAAACCAATAATGCATCGTACCGAATGGGCAACATCAACTTTTTTAAGGATACGCTGAATGAAGAAGTTATTAAAGCGATGGTCACAACACGACCAGACGTCTTACCTTCCGACTGGGGAACAGAACCACCAATTAACTTCCCGTTGGTGACACAAAATTTCGACTACTTTGCGAGTGCACTTCTCTCGGCGAAAAAGGTGTATTACAACGATACAAAGAAGTTCGAGGAGATCACCGTGAAATCACCAAATGCCCATTTTGCATTTGAGTGTGTTGGAATGAAAGAGGCTTTAAATATGACTGGTGGTATTGAAGTGCTATTACTGTTGTTAGCTGAAGTGAAAACGACGACAGATGCTTTAGAGGTCATCGAAGTGATCAGAAAGTATATTTCGAAGAATCGGGTTGCTGCGCAGAAATGTAGAGAAATACACTTTGGTCGTATACTAACCGATATCCTAAGTTATACCACTTACGAAAAACAAAATTCCATTGGAGGGGGTTTACCATACAATGAGAAGCTTACGGAAAACATAGGCATTGTCAAGAGTTTGGTCAACTTATGTTCGAACCAAGACGAAAGTCCAAACGTGATTGATTTATATATAGAAACGGGCGAGTTGATGAAGAGTATTTTCTTCTGTCCGCCATTTTGGATGAGGACGTCGAATGATGTTTTTGAAGAGTATTTGAAGACAATTAAGACTTTTTTAGTTGGCGAGTTTGCACAACACAATATGATTGTTTTAAGGGAAAACGGATGCATCGCGGCATTTGTGCAGTACGTTCCACTGGTAATTGGAACAAATTCAGTGAGTGTTCTCAACCTCTTTTTGGAGGTCATTCAATGCTTTGTAAAAACACCACTCTGGTCGGAGGTGTCTGAGATGTTAAAACCTATCCTCTGCAGATTCTGTGGGAAGACGCCCCATTTCCCACATGCTGAATTCTTTGGGCAGCGGTTGGTGGAAAACGAAAAGGACGGAGAGAAAAAGGAGAAGAGAAATTTAATGAAAAACTCTCATTCGGAAAACAACTTATTATCACCACGAGAAAATGGGAAAGTGACTGGACCAATTCTCTTCTTGGAATTACTTAAAATTGTTGTGAAGGAATTGTTCAAAATGGTGTCGAGTGACGAAACTCTGGAGTACTTAAATACCCTCAAAAAGTGTTACTCTGAAACGTACTTAGTCAATTTGATCTACCATTGTACAACTGCTGAAGAACTCATTAACGTCATTCAATTGCTCCACAGTTATATTGCGAATAACATCGTGTCTGTGACGACGATGAGTCAGTTGTTTCCAAACTTACTTGGTGGTATAAAAAGTGAAAAGGTCCTCAAAATCATGAACACGGACATTTTGAGCGTCTTGTGGGACCTTTCAATCAGTGTTGAATGTGAAGAGTATGTGTTAATGATTGGTTCTCTGGAGGGCATCAATGTCGAGTTTGTCATTTCTTTGTTGAAAAAGGCAAAACACCTTGAAGTTAGTCGAAAAAACGAGAAAGTACAAATTCTCACGTGGAATTGTCTGGTTAATATCACTGATGTGTATTACTGTTCGAATGTGAATACCCCTGTTTTACTCCAAAACATCGACTTGATGATTGAGACGTTCGGGTCTTTGGGATTGGATCCAAATATGACTTGCTTGAAGCTATCTTCTCTCTGTTTATATACAAGACTCTCTGCAGTGCGCTGGGCGTTTTACTTGAATATGAGTGTTCGTTACAAACATGTTCTCTTTCCTTCTATTGCCATTATCAAACTGTTTACTTATCTGGTCGAGTTAAACGTCGACCTCACAACAGCCCTACCGAAGAATGTGTTACAAATTGTCGACAGGAAGTTTTCCATCAAAGAGACGATGTTAACGATCAAAGATTATAACGTCAGTGGTATGCCGATTGCACTCTATTACTCGTTTTTGGTCTTTGGTGCATTTTCGGAGTATCTGAAAGATTTTGAAAATGATTCTTTGCAACTTGTTGAAGAGACTGTGAACACTCTGCCTAATATCAATGAATTTCCAATCGTTCACCCATTAAGCCAACTGATGAAGAAATTTGAGAACAAAGGAGAATTAATACAGTTCATGGAAAAGAGCACGGGAGATGTCGAGGAGAGTATCAAATGGTTAATGACCTCGTGCGAGATCTTTCCCCCAGAACCCCTCCCACACGTCAAAGTTTCACCAATCAAAATTGAAAGCGATATTATCGATATCAACAACTCTTTTTATCAGAGCGAATTGACTGAAACAGTTGACACTGTCGCTGTGATGGCGTGGAGAAAAATGGTAAGAAAGTACACCACAAAGGATGCGATATTTGAGTATGACTTCAGTGCACCGTATTCCTTCATAAAACTTGAGAACACATTATGTAATGGGAACTCTCAGATGATATTGAGTAAGACCACTCCAAAGTTTTCGTCATTGCCTATTGAAGAACACTGCTGTGATCCGAAAAAAGAGGAAGAAAAATTGAAGAAGTACGACAACTTAGTCGAGCGCGTGCGTTTTAAGATGTTTGACGAAGTCGAAGCGAAGTATTTAGTTGAATTTCTGAAATATGATAAGGACTATCCCGCGATAGTCTATTTCAAAGATTATAAGGAAGACACTTTGGGCTACTCCAACACTTCGACGATTACAAACACAAGATATTTGGTTGTCAGATTCAACAAAGGAGGGGATAAAAATATGACGTCTCGAGAGTGTCGAGAACTTTGTATTGATGTTGAAGACATTACGTCCGTCCATCGAATGAGTGTGTTGTACGAAGACACTGCACTCGAGATATTCCACTTTTACTCGTTGAAGTCATTTATTCTGCAATTCAAGAGTTCTACAGAGAGAAGCGAGTTTTTGTCACAACTGCCTATTGTTCCAAACGAGGCGCAACGCTTTGAGGAAAAGACGAAATTGTGGGAGAAGGGGATGTTGTCCAATTACGACTTTTTATACGAGGTCAATAGATACGCCAACCGCACATTCCTGTTATTGTATCAATATCCGATATACCCGTGGGTGACTTCGGAATTTTCTAATAATTTCCGCGTTAACGACATTCGGTCGTATCGGAACCTTGAATTTCCAATTAGTCTTATTGACGAAAAAAGTCGAGAAACGTCGAAAAGGAAGTTACACGAAAGCTTCGACGAGAAAGGGTACAACTACAGTTGTTATTTAAGCAGTCAGAGTTTGGTGTGTCGGAGTATGATTCGTCTTCAGCCGTTTGCTGGGATGTTATGGACTGAAATGTCCGAGAGGTGTTTTGAAGTTGGTGGAAGAGTCTTTAAGAGTGTTGAGAATCTCTTTGAGAGTTCTGTAGAGCAATCGCGCTCCGAGTTAATTCCGCAATATTACACCACTCCGACGTTTCTTCAAAACATTAACAAATTTCTCACAAAAGGTGCTGACAAAGGCGGGAAGTCTCTTGGTGATGTTGAATTACCCAAATGGAAAGTTTCTGGACTTCGAGAAAGTGCGAAGGATTATGTCAGTGTTACGCCACGAGAGTTCACTGAAAAGATGCGACAGTCGTTGGAGAGTGGGTTAGTTTCTACCGACTTAAATTTGTGGATTGATTTGGTCTTTGGGTCGTCACAACAAAGTTCGACGAATTTCAATGTCTTTTCGCCCGACTTTACTGAAAGGAGTGAGAAGGATGACATTCTCAAAAAGCACTTTTGGAAAACGATGGGGATTTTGCCGAAACAAGTCAAGGCCAAAAGCTTCTCGAAGCGAGTAGTGAAATCTTCGAGGGATAAAAGTTGTAGTCTATTACTCAGTGCAGCAACACGGCAACCAAAGAAGTATCGGGAATATACAAACGCGTACTTTTTAGTCCCAGAAAAGAATGGTGTGTTTGCGATAACCAAGCGAATCTGCAGTTTAAGTGGGAATAATGTGATATGGTATGAAGAGAACACTCATCGCATTATGAAGAATAGCGATGTGTTGAAAGTGCTTGTTGGTGTCAGGTGTTTACACAGTGAAGAGGATTACATTATCACTGGCGGGGACTGTGTGGTTGGGATGCGGAAGTGGCATGTCCAGCAATTTGTAGGGTTGAGTGATGTGAGTGCTATAAGTGTTTCGGTGTACTTTGATACAGCCATTGGTGGCAATGAATTTGGCGAAGTTGTCACATGGTCGATCCTCACAGAGAAAATACGATGGAAAAAGGATGTGAAGTTCCCTGTACGACATGTAGTCATTTCGGGTAACGGAGATACGTTTATAGTGACGTTTGATAAAGAAACTGAGATATCGTACATTACTGGGTTTGATATCAATGGTGAGGTGTTTGGTGAGTTTAATATCAACGCGAAGATCACTGCGTGTGCTGTAACAAAGAGTAAAAATGGTGTTGGGAATGTGTTAGTTATTGGCACCAATGTTGGAGAAGTTATCATTTTCGATGCCCAAAATATGGGGATGGTTTCTTCTTACTCTGCGGATAGAAGTGCGGGAGAAGTCACATCGTTTTTATTCACCGAAAATGAATGCAAAGTGTTCTATTGTGTACAATCGAAAGGGAAAAATGCGATTGTCTATTGCTTGTAATTTCTTTTTGTTTTGTTTAATTTCAAATTGAAGCTTTAACACACATGAAAAAAATAATTTAACTACAAATAAATTATAAAATAAACTATATATATAGTTTAAATAAATTTTATTAGTTATTTATTGAATTGTATTGTCAAACTCAAATAATTGGGCTCAATAGTTTTGGTAAATATTAATAAGTTAAATAATATTTTAGAAACAAAGAATTAAACAATTGAAACATCTTTAATAAAAGTTGAAAGAATGAAAAGTGGACATAACTACAAAATTAAACAAAGGAAATGCAAGTAATATTGTTTCTTTCATTCATTATAAATGCACTCGCAGCAAACCCCGACCGAAATTCGACTTATATTTACATTGTATTTTACGTTGGGACTTTTGTGGTTGTTGTTGTGGCATTGTTCTTGATGATTTTTGTTGTATGGCTTTTCATGAGGAGAAAAATGTACATCGGGAATTTAGACAACTTGATCCCTTCAAAGTTTTTCTCAAATTACACCGTCAAACTTGACGATGGTGTGTGTTGGATCAGTGAATTTGAGCTAAGCCAAGTCAATAACAAACTCCCAAAAATCAACAAGGACCTTTTACTATAATTTATTGGTTTATTATTACTATACCTTGTTATACTTGTTGAATGGAAGAATACCATGTTTTATAATATTATTAACTATTATTATTCGATCAATAGAATTGATTGAATAATATATATAATAAATATAATATAATATATAATAAAATTAACTTAATACTTTTATTATATTTTAATAATAAAAATATATATTATAAGAGTTACTTATTCATAAAAGTAATTTTTTTTCAATAGTATTTTTATTTGAAATTTTTGATTAATTTAAATTTTAGTAACTTTATAAAAATGAAAAAAAGAACTTAACTATAAAAAACACAAATAAAATGAAAAGTGTAAAGGAAGTTGACAGTAGTTTAAAAAAGATGATTAAAGGTGCACAGAAAGAGAAGATAACAAACTTAGCAGAAAGGATCTTTAAAATAATTTCCGAGACACCAGCACACCCTTTATTAGATGTGATTGAATCGACTGTTCATTCTCTCAACTCAAATATCTCGCGAATTGTCGTAACGAACAAAGACAAAAACGAAAAAGTTGCGTCGGAAATCAAACGGTTTGTGATTTTTCAACATAAATTTTTATTATTATTACTACAATTTACTATCATTAACTTTCATTAACTCTACAGTTTTGTTAAAGAAACATCGAGAGAACTTGTTTCTCACATATCGTCATATTTGAGATTGAAAAGTGTGGAACAATTACCGATAACTCAATTCGAAGATCTACTTTTTGATTTGTCATTTGATTCCATTAAAAAATTATTCTGTTCGAAAGAAGAAAACAAAGACAAAGATATGGAGTATCAATTCAAAAAACTGGTTGCGACTGATCTGAAAAAAGAATTTCGCGTTATTCCTCCCAAATTCCCAGCAGACATAGAAGCAATTTTTGTTAAGTCTTTAGTTGCATTAAAAGGGCTTGACAAAACAACAACACTCATTAAAACAAGGGCAATTATCGACAAAATTCAGGAACTAATTTCGCAAGATTTGTCATGTGCCATCGACCAGAAAAAACTTTCAGAACTGTTTGTTCCTTCCATTGTTTGTACTAAAAGTATCATTTGAGTGACAAACCCACATATAGATGTACAGATGATTACATCAACATCCTTGCGTTCTTGTTGACCGAGTCTCATCTGACAAACATCTTTGGGATACTCGCCATGATAGAGGGGTTTAAGAATGACTCTGACGATACCTCACGTTTCGGCCTTTCATTCATTAATCTGTGCGTTGGTGCCAAGACACTCAGCACAATGTGAGCAATTTTAGACCCTTTCAAATCTTGCCATTCCGCCAATTTCAATCCCTCACATCTCTCATTTTTAACTCATTTTCGATAGTTTGTTTATAGTAACTTCATTAACAATACAATAATTAAATTTATACTAAAACAACTTATTTATTCTAGTATTCCAGAGTTAATAATAACTCTTTCAAAGAGCCGGAGAACTATATAAAGTGGCGTAGGAACTCGAAATCCGAATGGACTCGCTAGCTCAATTGAGTGCAGACGCCGCACAGAAGTTTAAGAAGTTTAAAATCAAGCGTGACCCGGAGAACTGCGCGCTGATATTAGTGATCAAGGGCACAACAATAGAAGTTGAGGCGGAGTTTGACAAAAAGCCATTGGAAGAACTGCAAGAAGAACTCCCAGAAGTCGAGCCAAGATTTGTCGTGTACAGTTACAAGTACCCCCGAAGTGATGGAAGAGTCACATATCCTCTTGTGTTGATCTATTACTCCCCAACTGGAATCAACCCAAGAGAATCAATGATCTACACGTCATCACTTGGACTCCTCCAAACAGCACTCCCCGGTGTCCAGAGATCTTACACCGTCAAGGATGTCGAACAAATCAACGATGAATGGATGCTCGAGCAACTCAAAAAGTTTTAATTGCATTTAACCATTAAAGTATTAGTTGTTTTACTATTTTGTTTTACTATACTATTTAAGTAAAAATTGTTATATTATATAGTTTATATGGCAATTCAATTTGATAGTAAAATAAACTATATACGTAACGGAGTTCATTGACAACGAACTTGAAAGAACTCAAAATTGGTATGCGGCTGTTTGTAGTCTGTATCCTTATGATTGTGGGCGAGGTCTCAGCAGTCAAAAGAATGCGCTTTAAGAAAGCACGAAAGAATGGAGCTTACACGAGTAAATTTCCACATCCACAAAATTATGGGAGTGGTGCTCCCCGTCGTAATTCTGTTGGTAAAAACGTCGTGGAGGTTTGTGTTCCAGTTGCGTGTGGGAGCGGAGAGGCGATTGGTACGGAGTGCGACTTCAGCGATAACTATAAAGTAGCCTGCACCAATGTTCAAGAAAAAAAGTGCACTGGAATTACACTGCAAAAGAGTTGCAAGAGCGAAAAGAGTGTGATGTATGTCAGTGTTGAAAAAGAAAGTGATAAAGGATATGAAGTAAAGGCCTTTAAAGACGTTTTGTGTACCAAACCATATGGTATTCCAATTACTGAAGTTTTTTGTAAAGCAAATAATATGAGGAATAAAAAGTATTCATGTAATAAAGAGGGAATTGTTTCTCTTGGAGCTCTGTGTAAATGTTCAAATTGTGAAACAGTCCAACAAAACGAAAAAACAAAAATCAAAACGAAAGGAAAGGAAGTACACGTTAATATTTGGATTGCGGTTATCGTTCCACTCGCCGCTATTGCGATCATCTCTTTTGTTGCAAGAAAAAAGTAATGTCATTTTTTATGTTTAAGTTTTATAGAATGTTGAATAATTTTATGTTATAACATAATTAACTATTAAATATGTTAAATTGTTTGATAAATAAATAACTATTCTGTTATGATATCCAAACTATTTTAATGGTTGAAAAATAAATATAATTCAAAAATCAATAATATTCCAAGTTTTTGGATTTTTCTTAATTGCAATTTTTTGAATTTGTTTTTCTGAATAATTGAAATTATATAATTATTATAAATAAACTATAATTAATTGTTTACAAAATATTTCAATCTCCTTTAGTTTTTTATTAAAAGGCTTTTTGAAAAGGTTTTTACCATCACTATTAACAGTACCATAAATATTATAATAATAAAACAAATACATATAGTACAGTAAATAAGATTGAAAAAGCACTTAAAAGGCATTAATTCTACCAAAGAGAAGGAATAAATTGACTAATAAAAAAGAACCAATAAAATACCAGAAATCCAATAAAAAAACAGAGATTAGAGAAGCATACGGATTGTTCTGGTCTTGGGTTCAAATAAAAATATGCTGAGATCTTAAAAAAAACAAGAGGAATGGTTTGTTCTCTAGTAACAGATGTTAAAACATTTTATTGAATGGTGTAACTAATGTCGTGACTTACACAATAGGACGACTTGAAAGAAACTTTACAACTTAAAATTATTGTTATTGGCGAACCAAATGTCGGAAAGACAAGTACAATAAGAAAGTATTGTCATGGGGTGTTCGATCAATTATATCGCCCGACTGTTTGTTAATTAATTAATATATTAATTAATTGAATAGTAATAGAATAATAAAATAATAGAATAATAGAATATACAAAAATAACAGAGAAGATTGGTGTTGACTTTGCCGTCAAAATGACAACAGTAGATGACAAAGATGTAGAATTGCGATTATGGGATATAGGTTTGTTAATAATATAATTATAATAAAATTATAATATATAATACGACCAATTTGAATTGAAGTAACACAAGAGCTGGGCAAGAAAAGTATATAGCTATGACACGTGTATATGTTTGTTAACTTTAATTATTAGTAATTTTAATTAGAAAGTATTATAGTAATGAAAGTAATAACTTAATAGTATAATGGAGCGCATGGAGCTATAATCATGTATGACTTAACAAATCCAGAAACATTCAACGCCACCGATCGCTGGAAAGATGATCTTGAAAATAAAGTCAAATTCAACGAACAATCAATTCCCGCGTTACTTGTCGGGAACAAAGCAGACGCTTTAACTGAAGCCGAGTTAAAACGCGCCGAAGAAGACCTTCGTGCTAAAGTCGACGAACAAAAATACGCGGATGGCATTTTGACATCAGCAAAAAGTGGGCTGGCGGTCGAGGAGGCGATGGCTAAGATTACCCGCCTAATTTTTAAAACATTCTCCGATCTTGTTAACCCAAAACCAAACGCAGATGCCGTCGATCTTTCGAAACAAATTCAACCAAAAGACGAGGGAGCCTCTTGCTGCTAATTTATTTGACTAATTAACTTTATTACTCTTTATAATTTAATATAATAAGTTTTTTTACTATTTATTTTAGTATATATTACTAATAAATTAATACTAATTTTTTTTTATTAATTTATTAGGAAATTAAAAATAATTAAAGTGTTGATAATATAATCATTAATAAAAAATACCAAACTTATTAATTTAAAATGTTAATAACAATTATACTTTATAAAGTATAATTATAATCAACGATAATAAATGGAATAGGAAACGGCAAAAGTACCGGTTTGGTGAAAACTCAATTCAATTACAGAACAAATCAAAGAAATAAAACAGTTTTTTAAAAAAATAAATCAATATGCCTCCAAACAGTAAAAAAACAAAGAGTATTTTATTCAATTGTTTTCGGTGATTTCATCCCAAAATCATGCGAGTATTACAATTGTTTATCAAGGAAAAATGAAAGAAAACGTGTGTTAATATTTTCATTCAAAATTTTTAAACTGACTTTTCTTCACTTAAAATGGTTGTCAAGAAAAGATTGGTTTTTTCGGGAGATTATTTTAAACATTTGTCGGCTTGTTCAAAAGTGTGTTTGGCATATTCTAAAAGTATTATTATAATGCTAGTTTATAACGCAAATTATCAGGAATTTATCCAAATATATTGTCCAGTAAACAAAAGAAACTAAAATACTTGAAACAAAATAATTAAAAATAGAATCAATCAAAATGCAGTTTTATTACCACCAACATGGTTTGCCATACCATTTTTTAATTTAAAATACTATTAAATGGTTATTAGTTACTTTTAATAAAAAGAACGATGAGAAATAGTTTCGGACAGTTTTTGATTTTTTTGAGAGCAAAATGCGTTTTTTTGACCAAATTGGCTGCGAGAAGTCGAAATTTTTATTTTTAAACTGTTAAAATAGCCAAACATAGAATTTTTATTTTTGACAAAAAAAACTGCAATAATTTTCCGGCGTGCATTTTTTTTGTTATATTTAATTTTTTCCAACCAAAGGTAGTTGGAGTTTCCCGTGTATTTAAGTTCCAGTAGCAGTTTTAATTATTTTGTACCAATACTAATAGGTTTTTTCAATTAAAAGAATGAGGAAAATAGGGCGCGTTTAATAGCGCTACACCATGTTTTATGAACCCCACTTAATGAATAAAAATAGATTTGTAATATTCTATACCTTTTACTAATTTACCTTTGGCATATAGAGCTTTACATAGCTTTGAGTACTATGTTTAACCCAATACCCATTGTTTTTTCATAGAAAACATGGTGTAATATAAACAATAAAACACGAAAAAATACACAACAGCAAAAATGCAGTGTCCAAGTATTCTAAAATGTTTTGTATTGAACTTAAATACAAAGCATATCGAGTTGATGAGTATTGGGCGCCAAAAAGACTCGGACGGACTGTTATATATTCAGGACTGCCCAGACGCTTTCCACGCGCCAATTAAAAAGAATGAAAGTGTCCACATCAAAAAGCGAAAAGAGTCCAAAAACGATGCCGACAAAGTCGAGTGGACTCCCGAAGAGGATAAAATTCTTTTAGACAAACAACAAGTCTTAGGAAACAAATGGAAGTTAATTAGTACTTTTCTCCCCGGGAGAGCACCAAACTCAGTGAAGAACCGGTATTTCTCACATTACCTTCGAAACACACATCAGCGGCAAAAGAGGTTTAAAGGGCATTGGGTCAAGTCGGTCGGGGAAGAGGAAGGTATGACCTTTGGTGATAAAAAAGAACTTGACTCCGCTTTCAAACCAGTCAGCAAAGAGTTGTTTCAAGTCATTTATTAATTCATGTGTTATTCTGTTTGTCTTCTTTCAACACATCCAAATACCATCCATTTTGTTTCATTTCATCCATACTCAAATAAAAAATCTTACACAAATTACTCACACGTCTTAGTATAATTGACTAAGATTAGTAGTATTGAAAAGGTCATTCTTAAATTGACCCGTAACACAGTGACGGGTCATTTCAGAACAGACCCGTCACGGTGTAACGCCGAAACCGTTGGTAATAAAAAATCAATCAAAGTAAGGAACTTCCCTTCAACTTCTCCTTAAGTAAATCTTCGACACTCCTTTTAGTAGTTGGTTGACTTATATCAAGTGAATGTTTTCGATCGTCAATTCTTATATCTGCGAGGCCAAGGTATTTGTTTCTCTCTTGTACACGCCTTAACCTATTTCGTTCACGTTCGCGTTGCTTGTCTTCTTCATTTGCTATTCGAACTTCTTCTTCCATTCGAGCTGCGAAATCGCCGTCGTTCTCTTCTTCTTCATTTTCCTCTTCACTTGCTTCAGTGCTTTGAGTTGTTTCTTTGCCATTGGTAATCTTTTCTTCTTCCATTTTTTGGTCTTCTTTTTCACTTTCTTCGCTCGTTGAGGTACTTTCCGATGAGGCATTTTCTTCACTTTCTTCTTTTTCTTCTTTTGTTTGTGTTTCTTGTGATGTTTCTTTGGGGGGAGTGACTTTCTCTTTTTCGTCGAGTGGCACTTCGTCCATCAATTGTTTCTTAGAAACTTTCATTAAGTCATCATCGTCACTTTCACTGGTATTCTCTTCGATCACATATTTTTCTTGAATAATCTCTTCTTTGTCTTTAATCACTTCAGTCGGCTTCTTACACTCGTCTTCTTCTTTTTTGATTTTCTCGGCTTCTAATGCATTTAAACTGATGTCTTTTGTCCCTAAGCCATAAGCTGCTTGGATCCCCATTTTGTCGACTTTTTCAGGATCAAAGATGGACTTGTCACTCATCTTCGTCAGACTATATGTATAAGCTTTTATTGCAGACATCCCATATCCTTTCAAAAAGGGATACTCCATCATCAAATGTGTAATTTCATCGGCTATATCTTTCAACATCCTTTTGTTTGGCATCATGCGAACTATAGGCACTTTGACCTTCTGAAGTTTCTCAACAAACGAGCTCTGTTGCTCAGAAAGAAGTAACAACGCATTTCCGGCTTTGTTATACCTTGCAGTTCTCCCAGCTCTATGAATGTACTGTGCAGTGTCTTCAGGACAGTCGTACTGGATAATCCAGTCAACATTTTTGACGTCTAACCCTCGCGATGCAATATCAGTGCAAAAGAGTGCGCCCCTTTCGAGTTCAGCGAATGACTCATATCTTGAATATCTTGAATTTGCAGATTGCTTTCCATACAGTAAATTGAGTTCGAGCCCGCATCTGAGTTGTTTGAACGTTTCAAAGAAGAACCGGACTTGTTTGCAGGTTTGGAAGAAGACGATAATTTTGGAGTTTGTGTGTGTTTTGAGGAAGGAGAAGAGGACATTGACCTTCTGCCTTTCCTTCAAAATCAGACAAAACTGCTTTAAGTTCTCCGGAGTAGAAAATTCAGACTGTTCGTCGACTGATATGAACTCCGGGTGTGTTAAAGAAAGGCGAATTAAGTCTTTGACGCTTTTTGTTTGTGTTGCTGAGAAAAGTAGGGTTTGCCGTTTCTTTGGTAAATAGTCCAATATACTGGTGAGCTCCTTCTTAAAGCCCATGTCTAAAATTCTGTCGGCTTCGTCCAACACTAAAAACCTGAGTGGCGTGACATTGAACTTTGGAGTGTTTTCTAAGTGGTACAACAACCTTCCTGGGGTGCACACTAAAAAGTTTGTTTGGTACAAAGCTTTTGCCTCTAGTTTCTCGTCTTTTCCTCCTGTGATTAAAGCCGCGTTATATTTATCACCAGCTATTTTGCTGTAGACGTCAAAGATTTGTTGTGCCAACTCACGGGTGGGTGCCATAACTAATGCACAAAGGCCACCACGTTCAAACCACTGGGAACGATACATATATTCAATCAATGGTATCAAATAACTTAAAGTCTTCCCACTCCCCGTTTTGGCAGCACCAATTACATCACGGCCAATTAAACAATGAGGAATTATTGCTCTTTGAATGGGCGTCATAACAGTAAAACCATTCTCGGTCAATGATTTTAGGGTTTCCTTACTTATTGGAAATTCAGAAAACTTCTTTGCATCGGGGTATGATACAGTGTAATCCTTTCCAATAGCAGTTTCAGACAACAATGGGTTCACTCCACGAGGAGGCGCCTCTGCTTTGATTCGCGCAATAAGTTCATTAATTTCAGCAATTGTGTTTTGTTGTTGTTCTTTTTTCTTCATCAAATGCTTTTCTTTCTTTCAAGTTTCTAAGTAGTTTCATCAAAAAACAAATTCTATTCTTTTATTGTTAAATTAATAATTTAAATATAATTTGTTCACTAATAAAAGTTCATTTTAAACCCTTTGATTTTTTTCAAAAGACTGTTTTTTTAATAACATTTTAATAACAATTTTAATAACAATTTTAATAACATTTATACGAAACAGGTTAAAAAGGAATATATAAAAACCTATGAAATACAGTTTAATTTGATGTCTCGTGAGAAGCAAAAAGACACATACGAAGACGGAGATGAAAGTGACGAAAATGTCGAGGAATATCGAGAGTCTGACCCTAATGAAGGGAAGACCGAAAACGACAATTTAGTTTCTGAGAAGTTACCGGAAGCTGAAAAATTTGAAGAGACGAAGT